TATTAGCAGGGAGATTTTTTCGCGGCCACTCACTGGGTACTTCTATCTGTTGAATTTTTTTATCCGTTTGCAATGAAAATAAATCCTTATCAATCGCTATCAAACCGCTTGCACATTTTGGCGTAAACGATAGCAACGAAAATCATTCTCAATTCACGGTCAGGAAAATGCGATACTTTGAGATCAGGGCCCGGCACGAGGTGGGCAAATGACAAGCTGGAAATCGTTTTGGGGCCAAAAAGCAAAGGGGCAGTGGCGTACTGAGGGGGGGGGCGGGGGGGGGGGGGCGCGCCCCCCCCCCCCCCCCCCCGAGAACGGGTCGCGAAATTTTTGAAAATTACTTACATGCGTTATAAAAATGTGCAAATGACTTGTTTATTTTTGTAAACAATTAAAATAATTTTTAAAAATTTTTAAAAATTCAAATTAGCCTTATAAAAAAAAACTTTTTCGGGGGCGTGGCTGACGCCACGCCCCCTTTTTCCAGATTTTATGGGTTTGGGACCCGCAAAATTGTTGAGAAGCCCCCCTAAAATTTTTTCGGAGTGCGTGACTAACGCCACGCACCTTCATTTGAAAATTTTTTTTGCCGCGCCCCCCCCCCCCCCCGAGCCGAAATCCTGGGTACGCCACTGCAAAGGGGATATCGTTTTTACGGATCCGGGGCGGAGCCCCGGAAGAAGATTTCAAGTGCAAGCAAAAGAAGGTCGAATCATGCTTAACTTATACATCTAATTCATCGGAAATTAGTTTTCATAGATCTCAACGCACAGCAGACTTCGCGCGCACTACGCCGCGTTGCCGCTAATTGCCGCGTGCGCAAAGTCGCATAAGCGATGCTGTTGAACAGCATGATTACATGATCAGTTCTCAATGCAGGCGTAATGATATAGCACCAAATTACGTAAGCGAACAAAGAGACAGTAGAAATAAAGCGTGAAATGTTATGAAAAACCTATATGAATGGGAGGTGTGAAAAACCTATGTGAATGGGAGGTGTAATAAGCATTTTTTCCAAAAATTTCGCAAAACTGGTAAATGAAGATGTGAATTCAAATGGCTCGTTTGCAGCGCACACATGACCATACGGTATGAAACTTGGTAGTCACATGAACACGGGCCTGCAGGGCTTATCTTAGAAGTTTCAATGAAAAATTATGTGAATGAAGGTTGTGGCAAGCTTTTTTCTGAAAATTTCCCACTATCAAGAAAATGGAAAATGGCTCGTTTGCAGCGCAGAGAAAACGAAATCGCGCGAGACTTGGTGTGTATACGCACAGTAGGACTAAGGAACAATGTATGAAAAATTATGAAAAACATATGTGAATGAAGAGCGTGCTTTACTTTTTTCCAAATTAGATGGGCAATTGCCCACCTAATGCCCACAGGTGGGCAAAACTTTCAATTCACATAATTTTTTTCAAAATTTTTACATTAATCTGTTGTTCACCTAAAGTTTACTATATGGTGAGATTTTGGTTCCGAAACTCCTCCTCTTGTCTTTGTTACAGCCCATAATCGCATCAACAGCTTAGCTTTCTAAGATGGAAAGCGCGCCCAAGTCAATCGATACGCCCGGGAACGGCGTCTCTCAGTCCTATGACTGTCCTTTGATATTTTTTCATTCCTTCATCATTTTCCTTGCTTATTCTTCTTCCTGTTTTCTATCTCGATACAAGTGAGGAGTAATTTAAGGAATTTGAGCATTTTGGGCGTTTTTGAGCGCTTTTAGGTGAAGTGTGGCCGGTGCTCTCGTTCCACAAGCACAAAGCGTCATTTTTTGGCTCAAGGGGGGTATTCGTAAAAACTATCGGGGTCAAAGGGGAATTCGTTTTGATGTTTGAGAGGCTCTTAAGATAGGCACATGCAACTACAATCCAGCGTGACTGCCGGACCGGAAAACGAAAGAGGGGCAGGAGCAGAAGTGAAGCAGAAGGAAGCGGGATGAAAGATGGAAAGGCGTGTCTCGATAAACCAGAACACATTTTTCATGCTTTCTATCTCTTTTTTCTTCCTTAACTCCATGACTCATGAACGAGCAAGACCAGCTATGCCAGCTAGTTGACACTATTTTCTAGGTATATTTCTAGGGATATTCTCACTTTTAAGTCTGATTGTGCATACTTTCAACTTATCCAATAGTGTGAATTCTTGGTTAGCAACTACCTCGACTTATCTCGACAAGGTTCCTGCTGATCAAGTGTCTGTAGAAAAGGCTATGATTTTCGGAGGAGAAGGCAGGTTCGATTCTACAGACATACACCTTTGAAAAGTTTCAATTAGCACATTGTGCTTATCCAGAGAGTGTCAAGAATCTTGCACTCACTGCTTTGGATCACATTTCAGATTATCGGCGATCTGAACGCATCAATGCCAGAGATTGGTGTAGGTGTATGACTTATAAGCAAGCTGTATATCGTTTTTGGGACGAATCGCAAAGAAATATCGTTTTTGTGACCGAGAAAACACAACTTGAGTTACGTTTTCTTAGTCGACGTGTCGTTTTTTCAGGGTTTTTTACGTCTAGGGTTTGAGTCAAAAGGGACTTCTTGAAAATTTTGCAAAAGACAAGGGAAACTTCCTTTTTTGCCGGAAAGCCACCTCGTGATGAGCCCCGATCAAAGCATATTCCTTTCACTATCATCTCTATGACTTGTCATCAATAAAAAAATTTTTGAGGTGCTGCATACGATGACAGAAACCAACATCGAGCAAAATTGAATCTAGAAATGTTCGAAAACTGAAACATGACTTTTGTTCCAGCTTAATAACATAATAATGATTATATGTAATAACATATATCAGCGACATTATCAATAAGCTATAGTGAAGTACTTTCAGTAAACAAGCAAAAATAATTTCATGTTCTTATATAAATAGAAAAGCATAAATAGAACTTCGATGGCAGCAAGTTAGCGTAAATAATAAAATTAGCGTTAATTTCAGACTCCTGCGTAGGTCTGTGCTACATTGACTGAGTGATGATTTCTGCACAGTCTTGAGGCCGTCAGACATTTGTAATAAAACTGCAGCTGCAAAAAGAAATCGTAGCGCGCAGAAATGCGTAAACAAGATCCTGTTTACAAGTTGCAAAGTGGGAGGGGTTGACGAGTCTCACGATCAACATAGCCGTCTAGACATTACAACCAGACCTCTGCTCTCAAAGGCGGGCAGCGGCGGTGGAGCGCGCTCTTCAAAAATTCTCTTGTTAGAATGTACTTTTTAACAGTCGGACGTTGCATTTGTTTCAAGAACAGATTGCCGCATAACTTCCTTCCATTTTTAATTTTCACGTCAATAACTCCCATTTTTGACTCTTAAGGAAGTGCGCTGGTTACTTTTCAAATTTGCGCGGAAATCATTCCACAACAAGTTAAAAATCAACTTTAAAACTTCCGGAGACCGGAAAAGTCGGAAGTAGAACTTTGTCTCTTGAAGTCTCTCAAAGTCTAACTTGTTCACGCTTATAACACTTCATCTAATACTTTTATGCACAGCTGTATTTTTTCCAATTGAGAAACAGAAATACGCCAAAATATAACATCGCTTTTCAGTTACAGTTCAGCTTACCTGGAATTTCCCGAAAACTATCGCTCGTAAAAGGCTAAATAAAAATTTGTGGTCTTACGGCCGAACATATGCTATAGAATTATCTACTGGGAACAATTCAGCATTGTTTTGATTAAAGTGCCAAATTTCGTTTTCTCGTTTCTAACAATGGACATACAGCAAGTGTGCATATGAATGTTAGATGAGGGGTGTACATGCGTGAACAAATCAAAGCCTTCTAGAATGTTTTTGAGCAGAATTGTGAATTTTTTGAGTTCTAGGGTTCTTTGGTTTTGATTTCTAGTTTATGTATTAGGTTGTCCGGAAATTAATGTACGTTTCAGTTTTCAACCGCAATAACTCATACTTTCTTCATTCCTGAATAGATCTCAAAGCAAGCTCTACAAGATGGCGATCTTGCTTTAGCACAGCTCTGATCCTCCTCGAGTTTGGAAACAAAAACTAAAATGATTCAACTGTCTGAAAAATTGAGAAAATCATAACTCAGTACATAAGAATCCTACAAAAATCCTAACTTGCTCACGTAAACACTATCCACATAAAACATATATGTACGCCGTTGCCGTATTTCTTCCTCTTTTAGAAATCAAGAAAACGGAAATTTGTATGTTTTTACCAAAGTGATGCTGTGCCGTCCCCACAAAAGTATATGTATTTTATAAATCTGTAGAAGTACAAACATGGACTTTCAGCTCTCTACAAGGTCTAGTTCTCGAGAAATCTGAATTTTAGCCTAAGCACCTAGCCAATGAAAGCTATTATCGATATTTCTCGAAAACTAAAGCTTATAGAGAGCTGAAAGTCCACTTTTGTACTTCTACAGGTTTGTAGTATACATTTACTTATGTGGGGACGGCACAGCATCACTTTGGCAAAAACATGAAAATTTCCGTTTACTTGATTCCTAACAGAGGAAAAAATACGGCAACGGCGTACAATATGTCTTATGTGGATACTGTTTACGCGAGCGAGTTAGAATTTTTGTAAGATTCTTATGTACTGAGCTATGATTTTTCTCGATTTTTCGGGCAGTTGAATCATTTTAGTTTTTGGCTCGAAACTCGTCGTGGATGTTGCTAAAGCTGTTGCTAAAGCAAGACAGCCATCTTGTAGAACATGCTTTGCCCTATCGAATAGTACTTTGAAGCCTATTCAAGAATGAAAAATGTACGAGTTATTGCAGTTGAAAACGAAAACGGACATTAATTTCCGGACAACCTAATAGAACAGACTCTGTGTGTTTGGGCGCCACCTTGTAGAGCTTTCTTTGCTTCAAAAAAAGCATGCTAAAGAGCTTTTCTGATTATCAAGAATCATAGGAGTTATTGCAAGAAACGTGAAGAGACGGGACTTATGGGACAACCTTTTGTATGCTCATGAATTTAACACTGATGTCATTCCACTTAACTTAATCGTGATCTTCCATTTCAGTACAATGCTCCAGTCAATAATCTCTGCGGTCACTGGCGAGAAGTCGGATCCTAGCGATCTGCAGCTAGCAAACTACAAGAAATCAAACGTAAGTCAAGACATACAAGAACCTCATAGATTATCATAGAACCTTGTTTAGAACCCAAAAGTGCTTAACATGTCGAACGGCTGTCCAATCTTCGACAAACGAAATTCTCTTACTGTTGGACCGCGGTATTGCACTAGTCTCGCTCTCTTCTTAAAGATTACGAGCTTTACAGTGGACCTCAACTTATGGAGGATATTGTTTATTTGGATGAGATAACTCATTTCGATCGTGAACGTATTCCAGAGAGAGTCGTGCACGCTAAAGGAGCAGGTGAGCGCATAGAGACTGCATTAAAATTCGCTCTTGGTGGCCATCTTTCGAAATTCACTGTGGTTGATGGTTTTTGAACGCTCTTTCAAATTTTTCTTCGGTGGAAGGTGCTCCATATCCTTCATGCTCTGCACTTCTTTTGACTAACGATCACTCGTTCCCTTTGGCAATCCACTTCTTGTAGAAGTTTTCCATGTACGCTTCCGTTGTCTATGTCATATCTTGGCTCATTGTATGGCTAACAACCATCACCCAGCTTCAATTATATCACGGCTCGCAATCATCTTCCTTCTTACCGTTTGTAACATTTTAGTCACTAGTCACTAGTTTTTCAGTCATTCCTGTTCATCGCTGCTACGTGGTCTAAATCCATGCCTTTGCCATGGTGAAACGGAGTCCTTAAGCTTGCCCAAATTAATAGCTGCTAACAAGGCGACGCGTCTTTGACATACGTCAAACAAATTCATTTTTCAGTGGTCCGATTTCTGTTGCTCTTTAGTATATAAATATTTAAATTTTGTGGCCAGGCAGTGAGTAGTATAAATTGCAGCATTTACCTTATATGATATTGCAGTCCTCTAGGTATTTGAAATGACGCCGTAGACAGCACAGAGGTCTTCTTTTGGTCGCTATCGCAGAATCTTCGTTTAGTCGCTTCGTACACTCATGATGTAATCATCCTCCTCGATATAATATTTTACAAAATGCTTGAAACAAAGTTTAGTATGTGCTCGCCCTCTTCTGCATGTTCCATAAACGTAGTTTCCGTGATATATCGTCCATCCACTGCTCCCACATGTACATTTGCTCATAGCAGATGTATTTTTGTTACGAAATGCTGGTATACACGGATTATCGCCATGAGATATCTGCCAAAGTAAACAAAAAGATCGTTTTGGCAAAACACTAACAAGGGAAGGTATATGATTCGCAGTGGAGTTTTCTTATGAGGTGCATATCAGTCGAAAGGTCTTTGGGCGCTGATCTCAAAACAACCTTCCATATCTGCTTATCGGATTACTGAACAAAGTTACAGGCATTTTTTTGGCATCAAATGACTCAATGCAGGTCTAAGGCGGCAGAGTAGCTCTAAAACTAATGTCTTCAATTTTTCTGTGCACAGTAAATATATTCCAGACATTTGGGCATGTAACTTTGGACCAAATTCGCATTACCTGCGAATTTAGGTCATTTACAAACTATCCTACCATGCAAGTTGGACGCGGAAATTTGCCTTTAACTCTGTTGGGTAAAGTAAACCGATAAGCAGATATGGAAAGTTGTCATGAAAACAGCACTCGAAAACCTTTTGGGTGATATATACATCTCATAGGGAAACTCCACTGCGAGTCATATACCTTCCCTGTTGAGTATCTTTTTGGGAGCAGGATCATCCGTATAAATCGAAACACTTGTATTATCTTGAAAACAAGAAACTCATTAGAACATAAAGGAAAAACAAGTTTTTTATATATCAGTACCTTTATGCAGTTTCGTCTCAAGGTTGATATCTCACTTTAGGAGCCCATGGCTATTTTGAAGTCACACACGACATAACCAAATACTGCAAAGCAGATTTTTTGAATAAGATCGGCAAGCGAACGCCAGTTTTTGTGCGATTCTCTCCTGTTGGTGAGTCTCGTTAGATAAAAAAAGATCTACCTATATAAGTTGGAATCATCAAGCTTCATGTTTAGCCCTCGAGTCGGGAGCAGCTGACACTTATAGAGATTTGCGTGGATTTGCCATGAAATTCTACACAGAGGAAGGCAACTGGGACATGGTGAGCATTATGATGGTATAGTTTGTCTGCGACTAAACCATGACGGGTGTAAAGGAAGGATATCCTGGTGCCCATATGAGGTGAGCGCACGCGATAGCGGTGCGTGGCAAAATATCAGCCCCATTGTCCCCTTCCACACGTCCCAGCAATACTAGGTTCGCGCCCGCTTTGCGACAGTGACGCTCCGCTTTCTTTCCAGGACTAGCCTTTGAAAGTTGAGGGACTTGTAGAATGAAGTCCTGACAAGTACAAAAAACGAGTGACTACCCTAAAATCCCGCCAATAAGTCCGGCCTTATCTGCATCTTTTGACACGAAAAATTGATTAAAAAAATCGCCCTCTGCGCTGCCACAAGTCTAGCAGATGAATTCTCCCATCAGACCGCAGCAGATCTGCTAGACTTCTGGCAGCGCAGAGGGCGATTTTTTATCAATTTTTCGTGTCAAAAGATGCAGGTAAGGCCGGACTTATTGGCGGGATTTTAGGGTACCTTATGTTTTATATGAGAAGTGACAAAATGATGTATCGATTTGCTATCAGTCCAAAAAATCAGTCTCCTCTCATCCGTAGCCATTACAGGTCGCCAACAACACTCCAATTTTCTTCGTCCGTGATCCGTTTGATTTTCCAAACTTCATTCATGCTTTGAAGAGAAATCCACAAACTCATCTCAGGGATATGAACGCATTATTTGATTTCTTGGGCAATCATCCGGAAAGCACTCATCAGGTATGCCACCCTAACCCCCTCATTCCCGATCAAGAGCATATCCCAGTATAGGTGTTGTTCCTGATGTCTGATCGAGGAACACCTGATGGATACCGCCATATGCACGGGTACGGTTCGCATACGTTCAAGCTGATCAACGCTGCAGATGAAGCAGTTTGGTGCAAATTTCACTTTTTGGTAAACGCTTGATCCTTAAGTTTCCCACCAATATTTGTAAATGTGCAATCACAGACAGACAACATCAAGAACCTTACGGCAGGAGAAGCCAGACGTCTAGTCGGAGAAGATCCTGATTACTCTCTTCGTGACTTGTACAACGCCATTGACAAAGGTGATTACCCAGAATGGACCCTTTACATCCAGGTACAGTACGGATACTGAAACTCAGGGTAAACAGGCAGAACAGCCGAGTCCTTCTAGGTGATGACATTGGAGCAGGCTGATAATTGGGAAATGAATCCGTTTGATCTCACGAAGGTTTGGCCGCATGCTGATTTCCCGATGATACCAGTCGGCAAGTTGGTCTTGAACCGAAACGTGGAGAACTACTTTGCCGAGGTTTGTATGGAAAACATCTGTTTTATCTATGGGCTGATGGAAAAGACAAAGTCGAAACTGTAACCTATCTACAGCATATCGAGGGCCCCCTTCTTTATTCTTTTTGAAGGGAGGTATTCTTAGGATGGGCCTAGCATGTGAAATTATTGCCGAGAAAGGAAGCTTCTCGCTTTTAGAAATTGCAAGCTATCCGATTCAGCACTTATAAGAAAACTGTATTTTCTGACGATGATAAGTACTCCTTTACACAAATTGTAGCAATGAAATTCTTGCTTGTCTTATAGGTGCAAGGAAAGTAAACGTCCCCTAATTACGAGACACTGCTAAATTGAAATTTACAGAATCGATTCTAATTCATGAATATTCCAGGTTGAGCAAGCTGCCTTTTCTCCATCCCACCTTGTTCCTGGAATTGGTTTCTCCCCTGATAAAATGCTCCAAGGACGAATAATCTCTTACCCAGATACCCAATATCATCGACTCGGTCCCAACTACAAACAAATCCCTATTAATTGTCCATATCGTGCTCGTCCCTCGAATACCCAACGTGATGGTCTCATGACTATTGCCAGTCAAGGTAAGACAGATTGTTTATTGTTTTTCTACTCTTAAAAAATTTTAGGCAACGCCCCATCTTACTTCCCGGACAGTTTCAATGGGCATGTCGAGTATAATAAACGTATAGAGCATGTGTACAATTTGCACGGGCAAGTAAATCGCCATCCTTTCAATCCCGATGACGATTTTGTACAGCCAAGAGAGCTCTGGCGACGGGTTAGTTGTTTTAACATACTTGTATCACAAGGAGTGGGGCGGGGCACAGCATGCAACGCAACCGCAGATGCACCGAACTTGATTTCGACAAGAAAGTTGTCGGGTATTTTAGGTATTGAAAGATGAGGAAAAAGCTCGATTGATTGAAAATACTGCCGGAATGCTGAAAGATGCCTCATCAGTCGTCCAAGAAAAGTTCCTGGAGAATTACCGGAAGGTCCGTTTTAAATTATTTTATACCATGTGATAGGAGTGCGAGTTTCTAGGTTGACCCTGCGCTCGCTGAAGGAGTGAAAAAGGCTGTCGCAAAACTAATTGCCAATAAGGTGGAGTTGGCTCACTCAAATGTGTGATGACGTTATCTTCCCTATCGGATCTGCCGAACATGTATAGTTTACGGTTTTCCCTTTAGCATTGTACATTTTTGTATGTACGCACTGTAAAAATCGGAAATAAATTTCCTAATTTCATCTTCCCATACACGAGAGCTGCTAACTATACAATGACACAGAAAAAAGAAAAAATGTTGGCATTTACTTTTTCTCTTTCTTCACTTTTTTTCATACGGTGCACGTACGAAGGGAACCCCTGTATCCTGATAAAAGAAACTCATAGACATTAAGCACTTCATGGACTTGAAAATTATGGATCATAGTGCTGTACATCATTTTCATAAACTGCATATCCATATTCTTCCTCGAATGTTGCCACAATGCTAGCACGCTTGCTGCCAATCCAGTTCGTCGCTAACCCAAAGTCAAAACTGTTTGAAGGAAGGAAAATTGAACCTGCGGGTAAGGTAAAATCTCCACTTTTTTGAAGAATAATTTAGTACCTTCTATTTCGGACGTCGGAAATGTTTAGAATGTTTGAAAAATATTCCGCAGCCCTCTTCTACATGATATTTGCAAACTGATCTTACTGGTCAAATGATCGGCAGTTCAGATCAAAGATTGCATCAACTGAATGAGTAACAGGTGAGTGTGTTCAACCTTGCACTGATGTGTTACAGTACACCTACAGTGCTTTAGGAAATGTCCCTCATGAGGATTTCATTATTGAAACTTACAAGGGAACCGTGTTGAGTCGAAGTGGCCTTTCGAAATGAGACCAATACTGCTTTGAAGGGCATTGAGCGATGATTCCAAATCTGCTTTCCAAATCTGCCAAGCGCCTCTGTGCGCCGAGTTATGCTCGTTTTTCAGGTCAAAAAATTGAACGCAAAACTGAAGCAAAATCGCCCAAATTTGCTCAAATGGTCCAGTGTCAAGTATCAGAGCTGTTTATGCAATGGATACATTTTATTTAGTATGCTAATACTTAACATTGCTTTATCTGAGCTCTGGAAAGATTGTAACAATCAAGTTTACTTAAATTCTGCATTCATTTTTCGTTCCGAAGAACAGTCATAACTCGGCGTCCAGAGGCGCTTGGCAGATTTGGAAGGCAGCTTTGGAATCACCGCTTAATACTCTTCAAAGCAGTATGGGTCTCATCTGGAAAGGCCACTTCGACTCGACACGGTTCCCTTGTTAGCAAGATGGTAACATTGCTTTGGTTTTTCAAGCAAGGCGATTGCAGTAATACACTTCATTGGTGTGCCTGGATTTCCGCTTGGGGAGGGGGGACAAAAAAATTTTTAAGGTGCGTGGCGCTAGCCACGCTCCAAGAAAAAATGATTGGTGTACTTCCCAAAATTTTCGCGGGACCACCCCCCAAAAAAATTTTTATAAGGTTAAATTGATTTTTTAAAAAATTTTAAAAATTATTTTAATTATTAGGGTGAACGGTAAAAAATGGGACACTTACGAAATAACTGGAGGTTTCTCAAGAATGAGAAATGAATAGACATTCCAATTTTGACAGATGTTAGAATATGTTATTCTCTTTCAGATAATACCTATATAAGGTCATTTACCTAATTAACAATTTTTATACTTGTTTAAATGCAAAGTTAGTCACTTCGTCAAATTATGAACTTTGAGCATATCTGCGCAGTGAAACATGTGAGACCGCCCAAAGTACCACTGCTGGAGTGAGTGGCGGGACAGTCAACAAACCCACGGCGGCTTGGTGGCCTCAACTTCCAAATCAGGAGATATGGCCATTAGCAGCTTCGAGAACGAAGATACGCGTTATTCAATTCCTTCCAGGTGAACGCATGTTTTCTAGGTACCAACTGATAGAGCTTTTTACGCTCTGTCCATCCATATGCAGCACGCCTCAGATTTTATCTATTTTCGGAAAATATAGTGCAAAACACAATTCTTTGGTTTTTTATTGTGCCAAAGATAGCCATTTTTCAGATTTTTTCCCTTTTTTTCCTGAAATTGAAAAGAAATCTTAGGCGTTTAATATATCTTTTAAAAGAGCATGAAAAGCTCTTTCGAATGGTGTGTCATGTGCTTTACAACTTTACGGTATAATAGTGCAAGAGTGAGAGTTGTTCAAAAAACCCTGTCGGGGTTCTTCACGACGCCACGCGCACGGTTATGAGAGAGGAGCGGTAACGCGTTGCCAGAATAATAGGCGAAGGTCGGTTATGTAAGCGACGTTTGAGTTGCAGCCTGCTTGTTATTGGTGAGGACAAAAAATCTTAAAATGTAATAAAAATCAAGCTGTCCCATTTTTTACCGTTCACCCTAATACTTACAAGTATGAATAAGTCACTCCCCCTCCTCGGTACGCCACTGTTACACTTGTTACTGCAAATGTCCCATGGTGTGAGCCAATCTACCAGAATTAGAAATAAGTTAAATCCGCAAAATTAAGAATTTTTACCAGTAACTGAGGCCCTTATAAAAAGCAGTGTAACCTTCTTACAGCCTCCTTAGTATTGACATCAGTTTACATGGGAAATATAAGACTTAGCCGGCGTTAAAAATAGCTGAAAGTTGACTCTAACCAAAGCCATATTCGTCCAGCGATTATAGAAAACGGTTTCGTTAACACTAAAATGTGAATGGTCAAAAGTATGTAGCAGTAGATTGTCTTGGCATAATAATTTATAGCATTATGATATACCTTTTTCATCTGATATGTACAAACAGCAACGTTAGTAGCAGATATGCAAACATAGAGGAATCAAAGTTCGTTCAACTCTCCACGGATTTGCGCCAAAGACTTTGACTGCTGATCTTTGAACAGCTAAGGGTGTCGCCGGCAGACCCTCGTAATCACTTTACGTTGCAAAAAATCGGTGCGCGCGAAATGTGTAAACAAACGCTTGTTTACGAGTTGAAAATGGGAGGGATCAATAGTGAATCTCACAAACAGCAAGCGGCCTAGACGTCAAGGACAGACCTCTGATTCTCTTTGAAATGTTTTCATTATAAAATTGACTCGAAAAAAATTCACTTCGATCTTACATAATCTCGAAATGTCTTCTCCTGGCATGCATGCTTGTGGGGTGTCAAAGTGGGACTGGTCATGTTTAAGATGTATTTTCTTCCAAAAGTTCTGTTTCCCCATTACAGCAAATGATCCAGTCGATTATCTCTGCGATCAAAGGCGAATTGCCGGATCTTAGCGATCTACAGCTGGCAGATTATAAGAAAGAAAATGTAAGCAGAGTTACCAGAACCTTACTTTACAGGTCACTATAGAATTTATTTTAGAACCCAAAGGCGCTTAACATGTCGAATGGCTGCCCAATATTCGACAAACGAAATGCTCTCACCGTTGGATCATGGTAGTTCTAGTCTTGTTCTCTTTTGTATGCCTATGAGAATTTTACAGTGGACCACAGCTAATGGAAGATATAATCTATTTGGATGAGATAACTCACTTTGATCGTGAACGAATTCCAGAGCGAGTCGTGCATGCTAAAGGAGCTGGTGAGTTCAAAAATTATAGCATAGTTTAGAACGAGTCTGTAATGTAGGCACAGCGAATAGTTGAATCAAAAAGAAAGAGAAGATTTTTGTAATTAACGTTACCACATTCTTTTGCTGCATCTTATGTGCAATGGGAGCATCTGCAGCATCGTAATTTCCACGATACGCTTTGAAAAATGTATATACTTCAGCTTTCCTGCACTCTTCGTACTTCATCCTCCAAAATCCTCCTTTCATTTGCTCTACATGATACTGACTGAACGCCCCCTGCGCTAAAAGTGTCCAAAATCGTATTGATTAATTTGGATTCCTTCCTCAGTACGTGTTCTGTTTTCCTCCATTTTTTTCTTCGAAGAAATCGTATATGATTGATTTGGATTCTTTCCTCAGTACGTGTTCTTTTCCTCCATTTTTTTCGTCAACGAGGGAATTGTGACGACGGTGGTTCTTATACGATTTTTTGGCAATTGATAGGGTACAACTCTATGTTATTTCAAACCGCCTTTTTCTCACTGATTTTGCATTGCTCATTCGGGAAGTGGCCGGTGCATAACGGTTTGGCTTGTAAAGCTACCTATCAAATTTAGTTCCTTAGTCGGTGATGTCTTTCCTTCTTCTTCATGCCTTGCTTTGTACAAACACTGCCCTATATCGCTACCGGTATTTTCCCTAGTGATGTTTTGATTTTTTATAGCACTCTTTCCTTTACTTCTCTTCTTTCGTCTTCTTTGGACGTCTTCCTCATGTTTGGCTTTTTCGCATATGAGAAATCTCAATTCAACTTGGTTTCAAGCCCTTGCTTGTACATTCTATTCAAAAAGTTTGGCAGTTGTTGTACTTTTTTGCTTCCTTTACGGCCATCCCCTTGTGGTGGTGCTTCTTTGAATCTATCCTTGCTCAGACAATCGCCGGGGGCAGGCGGGCACCGGAAAAATAGATGGCTGATTTCTCGCACCCCGCCCGCGGAATTTTTGGGAAGCAATCAGGACTTTTCGGAAGAGCGCTTGCTGAGTTCTCGATTCCTCAAAGTTTCAGCAATATATCTGCAAAAGTAAGAACGGAAAAAGAATTCAACAAGCGGTCTCTCAAAAACTCGCTGACTATTTTCCTGGAAGTTGCCAGCGGAATGCAAAATTTCAGCAATGCGTATTTTCCGGCGCCCGCCTGCCCCCGGCGATTATCTAAGTGAGGTGGAGATGGGATTCACGGTGTGATGATCATTGCTCTAACGTAGTTTCCATATTTTGAAGATGCCCTTTCATGTGCCATTATTCATATCTGAGAATGGGACGTACAAGTATACGCAAGATTTTCTAGGCCTTTTTCAGTCTTGTGAAAGCTGCTAATGATGCTTGTTTTGTTAAAATGCTTATTATTTGCGTCTTTGTGTCCGTCCTAGATGCAGCACTTCTTGTATGCTACACACATCAAACTTCGAAATTGAGACGTAGTAATTTACGCTGAAGAATGCAGCTTTGAGTAAATGAATTCGCAGTTTTGGGGGTACAATCTCAGGGGTACACTTGATGATAGCCAAGTCTGATTGCGTTCATCCGTCGTCACTTACGACAATGTAGCACTTGCACTAAGTTCATTCTCCTGTCGTCATACGTGTTCGTCAAGGCTAGGTCGAGTACCAAGACATAGCTAAAACATGCTTACCCTTTTCATTTTATGTACCACTAGCTGGTTTTCTCGGTCTAGCCCGGGCCACGGCCCCCTCCCCCTCCCCTTCTCATTTAATCATTACGCTGCGCTGCAAGGGGCCCTCTGTATCAATAACTGACCCGCCGTAGGCTCGTCTTAAATTACCGCATCCTTCCTACCGCGAAGATTGAATGGATTCTGCTGCTGTTGTTCACATGAAAATCACGGAAATACCTGTTAGCGGATCTTGAGAACTCATTTCTATGCCAAAAACCAAAAATCAATAGAGTGGCCAGCAATCGCCGCAAAAAGTAGCTCTAAACAACCGCCGGGTCGAATACATATTTGTGCAGAGTTTCAGCTAAATCGGTTCAGCTGCAAGCGTTTCTACAACGAACGAACAACTAAACGAACACACAAAGTTTGAGTTTTATATATATAGAAAACAGTGGTTCTCTTAACTTGTATCCACTTTGCCTTCCTTCCACTTAGGTCTACTACTGGTCTTTGTGATAATGGCATGATGGTGAAATAGAGATACGTTACCAAAGGGCAAACCATGTTGCTAAGAATGTACTAAATATAGCAGAATAAAAACCGTTGCGTATGATGGGTTAGAGCACTGCAAATCGTACAATATTTGATTGAGCACGGTTATAAACAGAAGAAAAAACCGAAAGACGGCCCTTCTGAACCGCTAACATTAGCAGCCTAATTACTGCGCGCCTCTGATTGGTCGGCGCTGCCGCGGCGCTTGGGTAGGCGAGAGCTATGCTGTTGTTAGAGACATCTGAATTGCAAGGGCATTCTCATTACAAAAAGAATTAAACAAGATTTCGAGTTTCCCACGAAACTCAAAAATGTTATGCGTGGGCGGCTTAGGTAAATTCTCCAGCTTACACGTGCTTCATGGTTTTTGAAAAGTGGGAAGGGCGAAGAATCAAAAGCCCGTAAAAAAACATGCAACTTTTCCAACTTCCTTCATAATTCAAACATCGTCGCTATCATTATTCGTGTGCCTCGCTTGCTTTGGAATGCGCAGAAATATTTGGAAATTCTGATAGATTATAGGAAAGGCGGAGTATAGCGCCGCCCGGGCAGAGTAATTAGCGCTAGGACGAAGCGGTTCAGAAGGGCAAACACCCGAAAAAACCATTGGTATGACTTGGAGAAAAAATAAATTTTCACAGTATTTTTGAACCGTGTGATTACCAATTTATGTAGGTGTTCCTTTGAAAACGCTCGTACTTTCAGGTGCTCATGGCTACTTCGAAGTTACACACGACATTACCAAATACTGTAAAGCAGCCTTCTTGAACAAGATCGGCAAACAAACACCGGTATTCGTGCGATTCTCTCCTGTTGGTGGGTACTATCTTTGATAGCAGAGATGTAAAAGGTGACGCCTGGCTTACCTGCAAAATTCCATGTTCAGCACTGGAATCAGGATCTGCTGACACTGTCAGAGATTTGCGTGGGTTTGCCATGAAATTCTATACGGAGGAAGGCAACTGGGATATGGTAAGCATTGAAATGGCAATTTTCCATTTCCAGTGTAGCCATTGTAGGTCGCTAACAACACTCCAATCTTTTTTGTTCGTGATCCACTCGATTTTCCGAACTTTATCCATGCTTTGAAGAGAAATCCACAGACTCATCTTAGGGACATGAATGCCTTGTTTGATTTTTGGGCTAATCATCCAGAAAGCACTCACCAGGTGCGTGATCATAAGCTTCTCGTCAGAGTTCATATCCCCATCCGATATAGGTGCTGTTTCTTATGTCTGATCGAGGAACTCCTGATGGCTATCGTCATATGCACGGATACGGCTCGCATGCGTTCAAGCTGATCAACGCTGACGATGAAGCAGTTTGGTGCAAATTCCACTTCTTGGTAAACTTTGGATTTCTACATCCCGCCAGTTTCCAAAATCGTGCAATCACAGACAGACAACATCAAGAACCTTACGGCAGAAGAAGCCAGGCGTTTAGTCGGACAAGATCCTGACTACGCTATTCGTGACTTGTATAACGCCATTGCTAAAGGAGATTATCCCGAATGGACCCTTTACATCCAAGTACAGCACTAAAATTTACCTGAAGAGGCAAGTAAAGAAACAAATCTTTTCAGGTGATGACAATGGAGCAGGCTGATAAGTGGACGATGAATCCATTTGATCTAACCAAGATTTGGCCACATGCTGAATATCCGATGATACCCGTTGGCAAATTGGTCCTGAACCGAAACCCTGAAAACTATTTTGCCGAGGTTTGTGGAGAAGAAACTGTTTCCTATTCATAGAAGTGAAGAAAGCATCTATTCGCGGGGTATCATGCATGAGTGCGATGTCTCATCAAGAGGTGGAGTTTACCAAAAAGGGGCGATTTGAAACAGTGTTCCTGAAATCCTTTGTCACGTGGAAACATAAGAGAATGCAAAAAGATTGTCGCTGAATTTATGTTTGTATGAACAGATCCAGAATAACGTAATTCTAGGTAGAACAAGCAGCATTCGCCCCATCTCATCTCGTCCCCGGAATCGGCTTCTCCCCGGATAAAATGCTTCAAGGACGTATACTCTCATATGTAGACACTCAGTATCATCGACTTGGTCCCAATCATAAACAAATCCCAATCAACTGCCCGTATCGTGCTCGTCCCCAAAACACACAACGTGACGGTCTCATGACTATTGATAGCCAAGGTAAGGTACAGGCTGTTCTGTTTTTTTAAGGCAGTGGCTCGGCAAATTCTCAACTTGAAGGTTTTTCGCTTACCTGGGGCAATTCGACGTGCTAATTCCAAAAAAAATACCTCGGAGAGCGCGAAAATGGCGAAAACCAGCATTCTTCTAGGCCCCTCACTTTGAATTTGGACGAGTGGGGCCCTCCCCGCCATGACGTAGAGTCGCTGCGGTACCAGGGCCCTGCACCGATGGTTTGAGGTCAAACTGGACTTCGTTTTTGGACTTAGAAGCAACGGGGACATCGTTTTTATGGGGTTCTGGAGGAAGCGCCAAGAAAAACGAGTTGAACGTGTTCCTTCGCAAGCGTGCGAATTTCAAATGCAAGACTCAAACAAACAAATGGCTTGTTTATAGCGCACAAACAATCACATGGCTCCGAATTTGGGCAATGTGTATACAATATTACTCCAAACTATGTTATGTAAAAAGTTCCCAAAACTTATGTGTCCTAATATCCGTTCTCGAATTTGTTGGTTTCTAGACCAACTACCAAACCAACTGGGTTGGTTCGGAGCATAAATATCGGAGAGTTCACATAAGTTTTGGACCTTTTTGATTTGGACGATCAGAACGGTCAAAAATCTACCATATAGTGAAGAGAGCGGATCAAACCGTTGCCTCTCCCCTTTTTTGAGTTAAAAGTAGTATAATTCTACGCGTTGATGGATATCGCGCTCCAATCACTTGCGGTGTCCTTTGAAATATGTGGCGAAAAATGCGTCGCAGGATTGTTGAGGCTACTGATTTGGTTGGCCTAGGATCGACATTCCTAGCATCAAAATGGTACTGTACCTAATGGCAGAGCCTTTGATCGACTCGAAATGTTTTCTTTTTGCTTTTTGTTGTATTTCATACCTCAAAATGAGCTTTTTTCGCTTTTTTGTTGCTATTTTGGTTGAATAAGGGTTTCCCTACTGATTTTCACGTCGAGAGGGACTTCGTAAATTTCGCGAAGTCACGGGGACTTCGTTTCCTAAAAACCTCCAAACCAACGCGTGCCGGGCCCTGTGTGGGACCCTTATGTTTATAGCGTTGTGACATGCTGCTTTGACGGTGGGAAGGGAAACGCAAGCTCGTCCGAACGCGTGTAAAAATGGCTTGCGCGCACGGGTCCAGGAGCAGTTTTCTAGGCAGGTGCTGCTGATGTAAGCAACCTTCCATATTAGAATTTCGATATGTTTGTTTTGCCGCCACTGCCTTTGACCTCGAAAAAAATTTTTAGGTAACGCCCCATCCTATTTCCCGGACAGCTTTAACGGGCATGTCGAGCACAAGGAAAGAATTGAACATGTATACAATTTGCATGGACAAGTAAATCGTCATGCTCCATATACGGATGATGATTTCGTGCAACCAAGGGAGTTCTGGCAACGGGTTAGTTAGCACGCTTTGCTTCAATCAGACGGGACCTCTGGGCGGCGCAACGCACTCCGCGCAACCGCACACGCATGCTTAAAATTGTCGGTGTTCGCGAAGGACTGATTCAAATGTTTGTTTAGGTATTGAAAGATGATGAAAAGGCTCGATTGATTGAAAACACTGCTGGTATGTTAAAAGATGCCTCCTCAGTCGTTCAAGAACGCTTCCTCGAGAATACGTACGCGAAGGTGAGTTGGAGCACGATATCTCATTTCGAGCAAAAATTGCAGATTTTTAGGTAGACCCTGCTCTGGCTGAAGGAGTGAAGGAGGCAGTCGCAAAGTTAATTGCCAATAAGAAGGAATTAGCTCACTCAAATGTTTGAACGATGTTGGAATTCTTCCTGTTTCTCACTTTTTGATATGTGTAATTTTCATACACGTGTATTCTTACTCGTTATGATGCATTTCTGTATGTACGCCTTGTACAAATTGAATTTAAATTCTCCAGGCTTTCATTTGCATAAACTATATGATACCAACACTTCATAAGCAGAAAGTTGCCAGTGGTTGAGGCAAAATTTGGGCTTGTTGCGAATCATCTAACTACACGAATATGCAGAATACAGAATATGGGACTAATAATAAGAAGCCACGTCCGTTTTGCAGGGAAAACTAGCAGGAACAACCAGCAGGTTCCTTATTTGGTATTTTAAGTACACTGTGCTATAGTTTTCCTACCAAACCCAAAAAAATGAAAACAAAATTCTGTTAAAATAAAAACATTGATAACTGTGCCCGAAAAAATTGATGTGCTATAAACACCGCTTTAACCAATCGGATTGGTGAATTTTTTTTATATTTGGGTTTTTAGAGTTTTTATGTATGGTTTTAATCTACTTTTCTATTTAGAGTCTGTCTTGATCATTACCGCACAAATGTTCCCCTATTCACATCGATGATTACATCGGCCAAATAAAATAACAGGTGAGCGTGTGATGTTCAACACGCAATGTTGTTGTTTATGGTTGATCGTCATAAAATTTGTTGATACTTTGGGTTAGCTAAAAAAGCCGCGAATCAAAATAATAATTTTTTACTAGCTAAAAATCAGTTTTTATTACGAAATTTCGATTTTAATTTATTCCTTCAGTTTGATTTGTTTTTTCTGAGTGGACCCCACTAGTCATAATATGTACATTACATTCGAGCGCTGACATTGAGTTGATGACCAAACATCAGCATTGCGCAAGCATTCGTTCTAACGAAGGATTTTTATCGAGCGCTTTGAAAGGATCAAACATCAAAACAAAGGAGCTATGTTCCATTCCGCTAGATTCTATTAGAGGGTCGGTCAGTTCTAAACCGTTTTCGCCCATTTTAATAATCTTTTTGTCACAGCATGATAACTATTGTGTAGATTGTAAACTTGATACTTTATGAAAAATCAAAAAATTTTGCTCACAATTTCAAGCATACTTTTAGGAAGTGAGCTTTCTGAATGAATTAGAATATTTTGCGTATACATATAAATTGAGAAAATAGTCATTTTAATACTACATAACTGCAATCTTCACCTTGCATAACCTTTGATAAATTACACTAATAGTAGAAATCAGCGGCGGACTCAGAATTGCAAAATTTTGAAAGTCTGAGTTGCGAAATTTTAAAATTCACTTGCATGTGTTGTAAAAATGTGCAACTATCTTGATTATTCTTATAAATAGATAGAACAATTTTTAAACTTTTTTAAAAATTCAAATTAGCCTTGTAAAATAATGTTTGGGGGTGTGGCCGCCGCCATCCCCCCCCCTCCCCTTTCAGGATTTTTGGGCCCGCAGGAATTCTGAGAAGCACCCGGAAAAATTTTTCGGAGTGCGGTCCTAGGATTGCCGTTCACGGAAATCCTAGGACCGCCACTAATAAAAATAATGACTCTTGTGTAATCTGAGGGTGACCCACCTCCCTCACCTGGCCCTCCCCAAAAAATTTGTAGCAGAATTTTGAAGGTAGCTTACATGAATGTACAATCATTCAACTAATTTGTTTCACGCTCTAAATAACTGTCTCATGAACTTTCATTAAAAAAATATTTCTGTCTTTGAAAACTGCAGTTCTAATTAACAGAAAATTGGGATGAACTTTCATTAAAAAAAATTTCTGTCCAAATATCGGAAAGATTGAGAAGTTTTGAAAAAGAGTGGCTACCAAATTCCTTCAAAAAATGCACCTTCCTTCCGAAAATATGTCAGTACGACCGATATTTTGTAGATGTGATTAATCACAATAAATTGGTATGTTTAAAAAATTATACTGTAATAATGAGGGATATACGTAAGGCGAAAAATCGCGGAAAAATTAAGTGCATACTAGCGAAAAAAGGATGTGACACATGTAAACAAGTTTTCTATCTGCTTCCGATGTCAATATAATTTTTCCAAACTTGCATGTTGGTCCTTGCGTAGCTATGAGTGTTTGCGTTAGACCCTTATAATCACTTCAAATGTCACTATTCCCGGTTACAAAAGGCAAATCGTTGCGTGTGTGCGCCGAAATGTGGTAAACAAGCTGTTGTTTACGAGTTGCAAAAGTGGGAGGGATCGATGCGAGCAAGAACTGGCGCAAACAACATCGATGGTCCATGCATTGAGACCAGACATCTGCTTTTGAAGGCTGACAGCGGTTAGCTGCTTTTCAAAATGTCATTTACCTCTTGAAAATTTATTATTTTGAGTGCTTGTGTTTCTCGATTAAATTCCCGTTTCATCAGTATTTGCTTTGAATTTTATTAAATTTAAAAATTTTATTCGTATGAAATTCCCGTTTCATCAGTATTTGCTTTGAATTTTATTGAATTTAAAAATTTTATTCGTATGAAATTCCCGTTTCATCAGTATTTGCTTTGAATTTTATTAAATTTAAAAATTTTATTCGTATGAAATTCCTGTTTCATCAGTATTTGCTTTGAATTTTATTAAATTTGAAAATTTTATTCCTATGAAATTCCACGTAGTTAAAGTAGTCGACTTTGGGTCATAGTGACCAAGTAATTTTCCCTTAACTTGGATTTCTGTTCCATTAATTAGCAAAATTTATTTCGAATCAAATTTCCCGTTTCATCAGCGATCAAAGTAGTTGAATTTATTTCTCAACTATTTCCCGCTTCACAATCATTTCAAATGCCTCCATGAGATAGTACGCCGATATGTGTAAGTTATCCCTCAGGAATTTTTAGATCTTTCATTTCAGTACAATGATCCAGTCAATTATCTCTGCGGTCACTGGCGAGAAGTCAGATCCTAGCGATCTGCAGCTTGCAAACTATAAAAAATCAAATGTAAGGAATCTAAGTCCTAATTTTGCATAAATCAGCACAAAAATAAAATTTTTTAGAACCCGAAAGTGATCAACATGTCGAATGGCTGTCCGATCTATGATAAGAGAAATTCACTTACTGTTGGACCACGGTAATGACATTTTTTGGGAAACAACTGCTCTAATGCATGGTGAATTATTTAGTGGCCCACAGCTCATGGAGGATATCGTTTATCTTGACGAAATTACCCATTTCGATCGTGAACGAATTCCAGAGCGAGTTGTGCATGCCAAAGGAGCAGGTGAGCATGCGAAAAATTTTCTTTAAAAAATTCTGATAATTTTTTTTGGAAAGGAAAATTCATGCTGACATGAGAAATAGTGAGAGGCATCTGCAGGCGACGGCTGAGTAAACAATGGAGAATCGCGAAAACATCCATCATCGACTAAAGTCGTATTTATTTTTTTTCTCTCCTGGTGCGTCTTCTTTTGACAGTCTCAAAGTTCCTGGAGCAATTTTGTTACAAATTTTTACACCGACGCAGCAGTTCAAAATTTGCTCACATACTCATTTTCGGCTCAAAAATTATTTTCAAGATGTTTTTTTCGAAAGCAACAGAGTTGCTTCGGTGTTTCAACATATTTTAACCAATCATGTTATTTTCGTCCTATATGTCATCACAACAAAGTCTAGCGATGCTGCCTTGAGTTCAAGAATAACTTCACCGTGATGAAATCAAGATAGAATTGGAGAAGATCCAAAGCATCCTCAATGGCAAAGTCCCCATGTTATACGTTGTAATAACCATAACCCCGGAAATCTATGTGGTGCGAAAATATCAATATTGGCCTTTTAACAAAAACGAGAATGCCTGTTTGCGTAAATCTATTGTTTTTTTTCCTTATTGTAGGTGGTAAGAATAAGGAGCATGGCTTTCTATAAAATCTTTTGAACGATTCAATTTTTCTCAATTTTCTAGCTTATAGTAAGGTGGAACCCAAAATGATTGTAGTTTTGTCTGCAAATTAAACAAATCATATCATGTGTCTATTTTATGTTACTTAATCTCATTAGAGGGATATAAACCCAGCAAAGTCTTCAACGTTTTATGGTTTGCTCGTTTTTTTTGTTCTACAATTGAGAAAAAATCTTACTGTGAATCCGCAACATCTGGATTCACTATACATCCATCCTATATAACCTAATCCGCAAATCTGAAATGAAAATTCATATTTCAGGAGCTCATGGCTATTTCCAAGTTACCCACGACATCACCAAGTATACCAAAGCAAATTTATTCAACCAAATCGGCAAGAAAACACCAGTTTTCATGCGACTCTCCACTGTTGGTAAGTATGCAAACATTTGGATTTAATCGAGTAGAATTTAGTCAGTAAGTGTCATTGCGGTGCTGACAACATTTGCGCGTCAAAGGCTGTTGTGCCATAGTGCTGTAATTTTTAGCCCTCGAATCCGGATCCGCTGATACCGTTAGGGATCCACGTGGATTTGCTATCAAGTTTTACACAGAAGAGGGCAACTGGGATTTGGTGAGCATATTTTCATTCTTTCTGCATAATAATTGTATATTTTTTTCAAGTACCATGGCCAACTGGTAAGTACAGCTAGTAATTAATGATTTTTTTCCAAAAAATGTGGGGAATCTATACCAGCACGAAATTTTTTTTGCAATAATCATATTTGACTCTGGCTGTTGAATTCAAAATCGAAACTGATAAATGGAGAAATTGTTGTTTTATAGAAAATGTACAATCACATCCTTCATAATTTTAGGTTGCCAACAACACCCCAATCTTCTTCGTTCGTGATCCGCTCCAATTTCCAAACTTTATCCATGTTCTGAAAAGAAATCCACAAACCCATCTGAGGGACATGAATGCGCTCTTTGATTTCTGGGCTAGTCATCCGGAAAGCACTCATCAGGTATGCCACCCTTGACTTATCATTCCCGTTCGGGAGCATTTCTGCCCAATTCAGGTGATGTTCCTGATGTCTGATCGAGGAACTCCTGACGGCTTTCGTCATATGCATGGATATGGATCGCATGCATTCAAGCTGATCAACGCTAATGATGAAGCAGTTTGGTGCAAATTCCATTTTTTGGTAAGGTATCAGAGTTCAAATTTCCCGCCAAAATGGCAAGTGTGCAATTGCAGACAGACAATGTCAAGAACCTCATGGCAGAGGATGCTAGACGTTTAGCAGGAGAAGATCCGGATTACTCTGTCCGAGACTTGTACAACGCCATTGACAAAGGGGATTATCCAGAGTGGACCCTTCACATCCAGGTAAAATCTCACCCAGGATGTACATTGAGGGGTAACATAACCTCATCTAGGTGATGACACTGGAGCAAGCCGATAACTGGACAATGGATCCATTCGATCTTACTAAGATTTGGCCACATGCAGAGTTTCCTCTCATTCCTGTTGGCAAATTGGTCCTGAATAGAAATCCGGAGAATTACTTTGCGGAGGTTTGTGTGCAAAAAACATGGGATTTCTGTAGAGGAAAGGAAGAGGGTAGAGGACATTCTTCGAAAGAAACATCAGACTCAGAGCATGTAGCGCGATGACGATTGGTATTAGGAGGCGGGAGTTTGCCCAAAAAGGGGCGTGCACCTTAAACCGTGCGAATTTGGGGCGTGGCATGTTGTACCTTGCTATAATCACAGCTATCCGATAGTTACTGGGAATTTCTTTTGTTCGTTGATGGAGGGAAGCAGATCGCTGCTGCCTTACATGGAAGAATTAAAAAATTTTGTTAATCGCAAGAAATAGGGGAGGGGGAAGAAGTTGAGGGAAGTGTGGAGGATTGGAATTTTTTTTACAGAACTACCAATCAGCTTATGTTATGTAAATATTCCAGGTTGAGCAAGCAGCATTCTCCCCATCTCATCTCGTCCCCGGAATTGGCTTCTCCCCGGATAAAATGCTCCAGGGACGCATACTCTCCTATGTGGATACTCAGTATCATCGACTCGGTCCCAATCACAAACAAATCCCAATCAATTGCCCATATCGTGCTCGTCCCCAAAACACACAACGTGATGGTCTCATGACCATCGACAGCCAAGGTAAGGCGCCAAATTGTCCATCAATTTTTGCCCTCAAAGAAATTGTTTAGGTAACGCCCCATCCTACTTCCCGGACAGTTTCAACGGGCATGTCGAGCACAAGGAGAGAATAGAACATGTGTACAATTTGCATGGACAAGTAAATCGTCATGCTCCAAATACAGATGACGATTTTGTGCAGCCAAGAGAGTACTGGAGACGGGTGAGTAGTCACATTGGTGCTGGGCGGGACATAGCGCGAACGCGACGCAACCGCACGCGTGCCCAAACAATGTTCGATTTCTCGAAAAAAATGATTCAAAAGGTTATTTAGGTCTTGAAAGAGGATGAACGAGAACGATTGGTTCAAAACACTGCCGGTATGCTGAAAGACGCCGCATCAGTCGTTCAAGAACGATTCCTCGAGAATACGTACGCGAAGGTGAGTTGGAGCATGATATCTCATGCTGCGAAGTCTGATAGATTTCATGAAAATTCGAATTTTTAGGTTGATCCTGATCTTGCTAGCAGAGTGAAGAAAGCGGTTGCAGCATTGATTTCCGCTAAAGTGGAATTAGCTCACTCGAATGTTTGATGGCTAGCACGGATGAATCATTTCTTTTTCTTTCCTGTAACATATGTATACTTTTACACGTGTACCCTTCCTCTTAGTCTGCAGCATGCGACCCTATAAGTACAGTCTAATTGTATGTACTGTGTAGAATAAATCTGTAATAAATTTCTCAAGTCCTTGTGTTTAGCACAACCGTAGCCTTCCAGTTCATTCGTTGGCCGCACGGACTGGTCTCACTACGGAGAGCACTCGCCGCGAGGTAAAACGCTTGCTCCAGTACAAATCCACCACTGTACAAATCGTGCTCTCGCAACATTTTGGCCGCGCCGCGCGGGTCCGCCGCGTTTGAGCAGTCCGTGCGGTCAACTGATCAACGATAGCTGCATGACCTGTCATCCATCAAAATTGAACAGGGAACATATAGTATATTAGAGGCAGTTTCGCTTCAAATACCAATTTTGGCCTTTGGGTTTCTCGGAGGGTATAGAACATTAGAAACCCACAGACGAAAGTCTGCTTGGACGAAGCTTTCGAAACTACCCAAATTATAAACAATTCTTACACTTCGTATACAGTTGAAATGGTGCGATGGCTTTTTGTCTATACGAGTTTTAAGTAGCCAGTCTTTTGAAATATATCAATTCGCTCCCCGATCAGTTCTCAGAGAAATGACTTAGATCTACGTAATCATATTAAATTCACTATGCTTCGATAGGCAGCAAAAATCTCCATTTTCACGTCCAACATAGAAATCTTAGTATAGTTTGGCTTGATTTTGATTCTTTCTTCTTGATCAAGGAAATGCTGAAAAAATTACGCTTCTCTGTTCTCTGCGTCATTTCACTTTCGTTTGTAAAAATTTGTTATTGTTAGGAAAATACATGAGCTTGTTCATCTCGAATGACGATCTATGGTGTTGTCAAATCCTTCTTCCGTCTACGAGCCCTTTAAGAGGGTTAACTAGAACATTATTTTTAGGATTTCGCTCTTGAGGAAGGGTAGAAACCTAGAGTTTTATCTTCTCTGTAATCCGCTCACTCGAAATGGCTACAAAGTTCTGGTAGAGACGAAGCCTTCTCAAAAACCTCTTGTCCACCTTGTTGAATCTGAAAAGTTCAAGATTAATATGTCAACTTTTGTACTTACTATATACGGCACACGAACTGTCTATGACCATAGTGAGACATCCACTTGACTTAAACTCAAGAATTTTGAGAATACTCACTCAACCTGAGCATGCACTTTTCTGGTACATCCACATCATAGACCAGTCATAGAAGAACGTGCTCTCAGTCAGAAAAGTGTTTTTTCCGTCGCCGTCCTCCGAAAATAATTCATGTTTCGAAGGTGTCGAGGTAGGTGTCACGTTTTCAATCAATTTATTATTTTTGCTTTTTTGTGGAGATAATTATAGTAATTTTGAAACAAAAGTAACGGCTTGTCGCAGTGCTTGTCGATTGAAGCGCGTTTTCCTGCACTTGCTAATTGTCTTGGCCTTTAGAAAAAAAATGATAAGCAGACCCGTTTTGATACCGGGTATTCTACAGGAAAACACCCTTAAAAATGAGAAATTTGAGGAAATTATGACACACTTTAACAGGTTAATTATTGATTTTCTTGATTGCTTGATTAATTTTCCAGATAGCGTACTTTACCAAGAAGAAATTCTGAACCGACTAGGTTCCTTGAAATTTCCACTCTATTTGTCTCATTTTTGAGCACGTTTGCCATATTTTGCGTCATATCATCACGTGTGCACGGCAAACAAGTCCATTCGTCACCATACTGTGCAAAAATTGCACTTCAAATTTCGCGCCATTGGACGGACGTGTTTGAGCATGCAAATTTGTGTATGATTTGCATTCACCTTTTGTGCGCGCAATAATAGCTTTTATGAAACCTAAGATTTCATTTTTTTTCAAAGTAGAAATGTGTGAGTATAAGCCTGCCTTCTTATTATTTGTGCTGACGTTGGAGCCCGTCCAGGCAACTAAGCCCTATTGGTTCCTAGCCTAAAAATAGGCCCAGGAGAGGGACATCGGCGTTGGTCCGGTCCTCTTTTGTGGTCTCTGCGTGGAGAAAATGGACGTAGAACTCGCGGAAATGCTATCAAGCCACGCCCACCCTATCGAGCTCCGCCCATCCGGGTACTGAAAGCCAGCGTACCTTCAGGATAGGGCTTCCAGAAATCGGTTTGTTGGGGGAGGGGGGGGGGGGAGTTGCACATTTTGAACTTCACACTGTAACCAGGGCCGCGGAAAGGCCCCAGAATTACTAAATATGGACAGAAACTTTGGGTGGGGTGGGCCTTCAAGCTTCACTCTCTCTAAGGTAGCAGCTAATCGCACTCTTGTGTTTGTCTTTTCCACACCTATTCTTGGCCTCGATTTGGATACGAACTCAAAAATGCATAAGTTAAGAAAAGGGATATAAGGTTTTGCTAAATGATGATATCGGCTCTGCTAAGAGCTGTCTTCGCATCCACGAAAGAGCAAAAATCATTATGGTAGAGATTATCTGAATCGAAAGCAGAAATTTTCGTAATGAATTAGTACAATATGCAAATCTTTCTCATAAAAATAAAGCAAGATTTTCTGAGTGAGCAGTCATGTGTAGGACCACTGTTATTTGAGCATTTTTGAATATATATGTATAACAAAACCTATAGTATTTAAACCTTGGCATCTCCCTTGCTTCAGTATTTTTTCGCGTGTCACGGTATATCTGTCATAACTTATTAATGGAAAAAATAGCAAACTCAGATTTGGTAACTTTGATTTGCATAGTGTAAAAGATAATGGGTTGTTTGGGTTTTTCCAAATTATGAAACTCAATGGCTCACAACTCGGTCCTACTGTAGTCTTACAGTAATCTAGGTCAAAGCCAGCTTTACAGATAGTACCCGAAAATTGGCAAAAAACTTTCTATGAAGAAAGATGTTAACAATCGCACAGTGTGTACATATTTATGATTATAAATACTAGGTAAACGCCTAAATTGACTGCTGACTTCGACGGATGGGGTAAGCTCCAGTTCGAAGGAGCAGATTTTTTGGGAATTCGTGGCGATATCATTACCAGGGCTCGGCACGAGGTGGCTAGATGACAATGGAAAAAACGTCCCCTTTGACCCTCAACCAAATTTCCTCTAAAAACCTGAAAAATGCCCCAAAATCCCTCAAAAACGAAATGTTCGACTAAAAAAAACTTCGCCAAGTCGCCAATTTCGCATCTCTCTTCGGTCACAAAAACGAAACCCCTTTTGCTTTTCGTCCCAAAAACGATATCCAGCTTGCTTGTGAGCCACCTGTGCCGAGCCCTGATCATTACTTCTGGTGGACATTTCAACTTTAGCGGTACATTGAAAGAGCTACCCTTTCCTCTTGAACAGTAAGAGTTAACATAAGTAAGGTGCTATTTGTGGAAGTCAAGCATCCCTAACCAAACAGGTTTTGCGGTTATAAGGTGACTACTTGTCCGTTCTCCCTTTGCTGTTGACTAAAGCAAAGAATTGCTACAATCAAGCAAAGCCGAAACTAGAGCCAAAAAAAATCACCTCAATCGTTCATGTTTCAGCCTGAGATTGGTCTTTAGGACAATCTCAAGTCTGTAATTGGAACATACAACAAAGTTCTCCAGACACAATGTCTTAATGTGGAGACTGCAAAAAAAGTCTTTCAACTTTCTAAGTACCTCTTCCTGCCTGATAATTTCGTCATCGATAATTAAGTTCTTGAAGTCTGACTATTTGGCGAGCGAAGAGGAAAATTGTGTTTTCCTGTCTGAGATTTTGTGGTCTTAAATCTGCTCAACCCGCAAAAGTAATGTCTTCGAGGTATTTAAAACGGGTCCATCATAACATATACGGCACCGCAAATGATTTGAAATATCATCCTCTTACTTGCAAGCGTTGAACCTTATTCATTCATCCGTTTGGCGCAGAAATCCATTCCCTCATGTTCTTACACTAACTTGATCAGGAAAAATTGGGTAAACTCCCCTAAAGTTCGGTCTTATTGAAATCATTCTTTCTAGAAGTATTGCGCAAACATTTACACAAATTGTTACTTGCAAGTTTGAAATTGGAAACCAGAACTACCAAACCCCGCGAATGATAAAAACAAGTCAAAAATTTGGGTGAAACCGTTGAGGTCTGCTTTTAGGGCTGTATATAACGTTATTGCTCTAACGGTTTCATGGCCCCCATATTTTGACCCTGACTACTGATTTTCGAAACGCAAAACTTCAATTTGCTGTTAGGTAACTGCGCTAAAAATCTAAAAAAGTTTTCAAGACCATTTTTGGAAGCCTTTGACCCTGTTCCTTTAGAGATTGACTAGGTTTGTCTCGATAAGCACAAATTATTCTTGATTCGGAGGTAGTTAAGATCTATGCAGTCATTTGTGCATTCTTTGCGTTTTCTGATTGCCGCCAATTACCGCAAGTAAAAAAAGTGTTCGTTCTCTGCTCAATCAAAAAAGCTGCAAAATCTGCTGATATTATCTGCAAATTTAATCACTCCAATGTCACTTGCTGTAGAGCCGTTTAGTTTTGAAGGTTTCACAGATTGTGCCGAAGATAATCTGACGCATAAAAAAATACTAGAACTGTTGCAAACGTCTTGAATCGTTTTGCTCTCACAGTTTGATTCGATGAAGGGCACTAGCAAGGGAAGGTTCTGAACAGGATAGAAGTTTTTTGGTGCATGCTCTGTATCAGAACTTTGTTTCATTACTTTCGCTCTTCTCGCAAAAATTTTCTAAATACTTGCTTTCTTTGAGGAAAGCATCTGTTAGTCTGAGAATTCACTTTTTATCTATCTTGTTCTAATGTTAGTTTATGTGGAAATGCTCTATTTCTCCTTTTACGTCTTCGATACTCCCATCAACAAAACTAGCGTACTGTCAGTTATAACTAAAGTCGTTCTAAAAACCTTATTTCAAGATGAAAAAGAGATTAGTCAAAGAAGTTTTGACTTGTGGAACGTCAGTGGGTCAGAAGGCAAGCAGGTCCGGGTATGACTATTGTAGGGTATTTACATCTTATTTAGTTTTTACCACTCCAAAGCATCAAATGATAGATTCTATTGCGCAAAAACCTGTTTAGAAATTTTCTTAGCTTGCAAAGGACGTCATATAACAGCTGGCAGTGTTTCTCAAATATTAACTAGACCAAAGATCAGGATAGCTGTCCCAATTTCCTAATTGTGCTACTTTTCTCTACCCCTCCTCTCATACGTTTGAGACTTAAGGTTTGAAAGAAAGAAGACAAGCTCACGGTAAATCCTCTTTGATGGCAACGATAAAAATCATATTTACTTAATACCACAACTTCAAAATATCGAGAGAACGCTTTTTGGTCTTTCCTTGTTCTCGTATCTTGCTTATTATTTCCACTATTCACATGCCCATCCATAGACAATCTTCTTCTCTCAAAGATGATATACACCAACAGAATAATTCCCTCAATTTGTTCCTTATTCTGCCTGTGTAGCATAGAGAGATCAAAAAAGTCAGTTTTCTGCTCGTTTAAAGGCAGCGTCCGGGCAGATACGAATAGAGTAAAGGGGCGCCCGTCCTGGTAAGGCTTTTGCCCAACTGGCAATGCACCACTTTGCATCTGAAGCGAGTAATCAGACAATCAAAACGTATGGTCCCACAAAGATGCGTCTCCTTGACGGCAGGCGACAAAATTCAAATTGAGGGCTTCTGGAGAAGCCCGTTTCCGGCGTTTTCGTGCCCTTCAAGCTGCATTTTCACAATCACCGGGGGGATTAAGTCCAGGTAAGCGAAAAAATTCCATTCGAATTTTTGCCTGGACGCTGCCTTTAAGAAATGAGGAATAGGTAAAGAACATTGCTCGAGATGCAACAAGTTGTAAAAGCTAATAATTACTTTAAGTTCACATATGGGTACTTGCTTATATTTCAAGCGTTCATGGTCCCAGAAAAATGAGTGTATTAGCTCCATTTTTGTCAGAAAGCTTCGATAGAGAAAGAAAATTTATCTGACTGAAATTCGTGGTCAGGTTGTGCTTTTGGACCAAGGTTCGTTGTGCTTCGCTCCCTCACAATTTTTGCTGTCCCGGCAAGAAGGTATTTAACCACGATAACTCAACGTTGCGTTCAACTTAGAGCCTGCCTTATCAGTCGATAGTAAAAACCATTGCGACAGCGTTATCGGCAATCGTTGACCCACACCACGCGTCCGTTTTGTTCATGCTAGAACCGTTTCACCATTATATTTGCCATTTTTCTTCTCAACGTGCATTCATCAAAGTTCATAAAATAGAACTGAACAGTTTCCTGTTTTGTTGCAAATTCTCAACAGTATCTCAGCATTCGGAAGTAATTGGATTGAATTTTGGGAAACTTTTTGATTCTTCATGAATTAGTCTATCTTATAAAAGCCTTCATAAGCGTTCTCTACTTCTAGAACTTCTTCCTTCCTTCCCATATCCCAGCTCCCTTGAAGAATTTGCTCACAAAATTTAGTAGACTATCTAGCCAAAATCATAATTCGATAGAAAATCTAATGTTGGTAATAATAAACAGGCTAATTATAGTATCAATAATTACTAAATAAGTTTAGTTGCATGATTTTCATTTTCTGGAAACTTCCATTCATCCTTTTTATAGTTTTTGTCTACTTCTAACCTGGGCTGTGAATTTAAAAAGCACTCTTTTTTTCTCATTTTTGGAATAATTCTATTATTTTGGTGATTTTTATCGCGATAAATCCTCCGCGACGGTAAATCTTGTCGTAACCCGTTTTCTTTCAAAAATGGGGAGCACTGCTGTATTTTATCTTACTTTTCGAATCTTTGTTTCTCTTATATATGAATTTTATTGCTCAACGTATGCGGAATAGGGGGGGGGAGAGCAAAGCGTGCAAAATCTCAAAAAGAATTATTTAGAAAAGGCGCAGCAACGTGCTGAAGTCCTTGCTAGCGCTATCACGCGCAAATAGTGTGTTTTTCTTTTCAATTAAAGTATCCATGGAAACCTAAAAGTATAAAGTACTCTATAACAAGAAAAAGGTCTGTCATTGTTACCCTTGAGGGATAGTGCCCTTGTCGCTTATATATCACAGGATAGAACTCCTTCAAAAGCAGAACTGCAAATTTTCTCGCTACTAACAATAAGAAAACATTTTGCAAATCTACCAGGAACCTGGAATAGTTTTGTTTTTGGTTCATTTTCTATTCTGCTGAACTGATCACCAAGGGTCAATATTTGTAGTGACAGACGACCATGTGGCCAAAAACCATCCTTTTTGCCCCTCTCTCTTTGTCAGCTGGTTTCTGTTCAAATAACTTTTTTTGTTTTCTAAGAAATTGGGAACATGATATGCTGTACTGCTTACCGTTTACTTGTTTGAACATCTAACTGCAATTTTTGAAAACATTTTCGCCCATAAATCAGACCTTTGAGGGCTATATACGTTAGCAGCAAATTATTTAGCAAGTGCCTTGATACCTCAAATTCTTTTCATCCCTTGCTTCTTTCGTTTTTTCCATTGTCAGGCTACTAACACAGAATAGCCTGAAAAGTTTGATCAATTTTACCATGATAAAACTAGCAAATCATAAATTTTCCAGAACCTATACCAGTAACATTCAATTATTTCCGAATGTATCGCGATCATGGTCAGTAAGTAGTCGTTGTGCTGTGCAAATGTAGTCCTATTTATTAGAATTCTTAGAAATAGAACTATGACTAAAGCTGATCCCTTTTCGAGATTTTTAAAATGTAAAATAAGCTACCAAAAATTTTGAAAAAGTGAAATTTACTGATGCCGATGCAGAAGTAGAGCCTAGGCTTGACAGAGGCGGAGTTTGCCATATCATCTCTTTTGAATTTAGCAGTAAATAAATATAACAACGCGCGCGCATTATCTTCGGTACCTATATGAGACAAATAGGCCCGTAGCATCGTAAGTTACCTGAAGAGTCATCGCTAGCACACTATTTCGAGAGATCATCGCTCTGATCATCTCCCATGACTCGGCAGGGAGATGATCTCCCCTGCGAACTTAACCTAAGGCTCACATGTCAAGTGACATTGCATTCTTATAGCATGCGAAGTGGGTGGTCGTCATTTCACTTAACACATTCACGACAGAGCCGATTTTTCGATGACTGCCATTTCGGACCAGAGCATATATTGCGAAATTGAGTTTGCGTGATGTTTCCAGGTCACTGATGGTCCTTTGGTCTAAAGTGTTAATCTTTCGGGAAGTACTCCGAGAGGTGTATACAAGAGTATACTCGTTTTGCCTAAAAAGTTTCACCGTGAACTAGCAAAATCAAAATCTTCAGAAAGCGTACGACCCACCGGTGGGTCGTATTGTCCGAAATGGCAGGACACGTACGACCCACCGGTGGGTCGTATTGTCCGAAATGACAGGACACGTACGACCCACCGGTGGGTCGTATTGTCGTGAATGTGTTAATGAAACCTTACATGAGAACTTTAGGGGACATCTCTTCTGATCGAGATTTGCTACGGGCATAGACTCAAATTAGGTTCCTGAAATTTGCTAAGTTGGTAGGTCGAGTGAGGATCTTATTTTTTGCAGCAATTAATTTATACTAACAGTATCATTAGTTGGTCAGCCCCCGCAAGTGCAAAATTTTGTCAAAAGGGAGTGTCCAAGCAGTTAGTGACAATACATTTTATGCGATCTTCTGCCTGTCCCAGAGGTATAGAAATAGAAGTAAACATGAACAGTTGTATTGCAGCGAAAGTTAAACGGCAGATTAACGGTATTTGCAACATACTATGCTGTACTACCCAAAATATACCTTACTAATGTCGTCAACAATCTCGGAAGCGAGTCACCGATTTGATAAATGAGTCACTTAATACGAATTCTAGACATTGTTGACGACTGATTACGATAATTAGTACCTGCGCCCTTTAAGAACAACTTTCAGGGGACTAGATATAAAGAAGACAATTTCAACTTTCCGCTGTTTTGGAAAACCTTGGTACAGTACTCAAATCAAGTTTTTCGCCTAATTTATATATAATGCGAACGAGGTGTCTATTCGTCCCCAATCTGCCCTAGATCGAGTGCTCCTTTTTCCAGCTACCTAAATTGAATACCGCAATTTTTAGATCCCGATAAAAAGAAGGGCCACAATAGTGAAGATCCAACGATGACGAAATCCGATCCAGCCGATAGCCAGCTTGAAAACTTCAAGAAAGGAACACCGGTAGGAATTAACAAATACCAATTTCAGGCAATCAGAGAAATTTGATGTATTTAGAAGCCAAAAGTAATTACAATGTCTAATGGAGCTCCAATCAATGACAAGAATAATTCGCTTACGGTTGGACCACGGTAAAAACAAATTTGAATATTTTACAATAATAATTAATCAAATGTTTACTTTTCAGTGGCCCATTGCTGATGCAGGATGTAGTCTTTATGGATGAAATGGCTCATTTCGATAGAGAACGAATTCCAGAGCGAGTTGTGCACGCTAAAGGAGGAGGTCAGCTGTATTTTCGTTTAAAAATGCTTAAAAAATTCGATAACAACATGTTTACACATGTGTTTCAAATAGAAGAACTGAAAAAACTTACCTAACGATGCTGCCTATGCTGAGTTCGTCTTGTCTTTGTAGTTTCTTTACTTATGATTTGATTAAGAAATTATTTAAAAAAAGCGGAAAATTCTTCTCCATAGACTTCATCAAAAATTGCTTGCGAGGATAGAACAAAAAAATTATAAAAAGTTTTTTTTAACTATTTCCATAGTTACCAAATGACTGTTCACTTTTATTGGAATGTTGAAGTTGATTTTGCAATTTTCAGGGGCTCATGGCTACTTCGAGGTTACACATGACATCTCTAAATACTGCAAAGCAAATCTTTTCAATAAAGTCGGCAAACAGACGCCAGTATTCGTTCGTTTTTCGACTGTTGGTAAGCTCACCTTTCTTTCTACAATGTGTACTTCCTTAAACAATGGATGTCTGACGAGAAAATTTATAAATGGACAGGAAGTACGCTAGTTTCGCTCAGAATTACCGTATACCACTCATCACGTTGCAATATTAATATTACATTAACAGGAATAATCAATCGCTTTAACTGCTCCACATGTTTTCATTTTTCGAGAAATTTCTGACCACTCTTTGTGCTTCTGATCTTCGTCAACAGTACATAAACTTTGAACGCAGATTGCAAACCACGTGTTCGACACTACAACCTAGTCTTATCAGCCAAAATTGCTGATAACGGTTGATTAAGTGCGTCAAGGAAGCAGCCACAATAAACCCCGGCAACATAAAAGATGGGTGGACCAAAATTTTAAAAAAAATCAAAAAACTGATCCACATTGAGGAAAGGTTTGATTTGACAAGGAAGGAGATTCAAGACCAAATTGCACTTTGGTACCATAAAAAGAGTGCGATGAAACCAAGTGATTGATGTGAACGAGGAACTAATTTGTGGTGATTTGCAAAAATTGATGGATCTAGAAATTGATGGATCTAGAAGTAGGAAGTACATTTTTCTTCGTTGTTGCTTGATATTTCTTTAATGAAAAACGTTCGAGATTTGAGTGCCAGGGGATTCATAAGAAATTTGAATTTGTGCTGGTTTTTAGGCGGCGAAGCTGGTTCAGCTGATACTGCTCGGGATCCACGTGGATTTGCTGTGAAGTTCTATACTGAAGAAGGAAATTGGGATTTGGTGGGTTCGGTGCTCCATAAGATGGGGGGGGGGGGAACGAACTTCGCCATATTTGAGCCGCCTCGGCTGGCAGGTACTATCCTTTACAATGTTGTTGCATGTAGTTGCAGGACCAGTAGTCCGTGGAGGAGGCACCAACCGGCGGGGTTCGTTCCCCCATCCCTATAAGATCATCTTTCGCCACAAAAGAATCGTAGATTGCTGAGAAATTGACATTTGTCAGGCTTTCCACAAATATTAGATCAAACAGAATGTCTTAAACTTTCGTAAAATAAATATGAAATTCACTGGAGTCGGATACCAGCGTCCAAAGCTGTACCATATCTTACATGATATTTTTAGGTTGGAAACAACACCCCAATCTTCTTCATCCGTGATGCTATCCTGTTCCCGAATTTCATCCATACACAGAAAAGAAATCCACAAACTCATCTGAAAGATGCGAACGCCATGTGGGACTTCTGGGGTCTTCGTCCAGAAAGCACACATCAGGTAAGTAAGCAGTTCAACAGATCCATGCGGCAAGTTTCGGTGCTTGTGTGTGACTACACAACTCCATGATTTGGTGGCAAGTAGTATATGCACTATCATTGGCCTCTTTTTCGTATAGGTCATGTTCCTGATGTCGGATCGCGGTACTCCAGATGGTTTCCGCCATATGAACGGTTACGGTTCACATACATTCAAAATGGTCAATGCTGAGGGAAAGGCAGTATACTGCAAGTTCCACTTCAAGGTAAGGGACCGGAATAATTTCCAATTACCAATTCAAACCGACGTTCCAGGCACAAAAGATCAAGAACCTCATGGCTGATGAAGCTGCGCGTTTGGCTGGAGAAGATCCGGATTATGCTGTACGCGATTTGTATAACGCTATCGAGAGGGGCGATTATCCAGAGTGGAAATTCTGCATCCAGGTGGTTATGACTTGTTGACAGTATATGCACTATCTTCACAATGAAGCAAGTGCATGCGCGTCGCATTCGCGCCGCGTCAGTAAGCTCAAATTCTAATTTAAGATCATCAAACTATTAGGTTGGCTCGAAAGTTCTCAGACAATTTCAGACGAGATCTGCTATTTCTCGAAACTTAATGTTTGTACATTCGTCAGAGAAAACCATTCGATAGAGCAAAGCAAGCTCTACAAGATGGTATGCAAATGCTCGCACCAGCTTCGACCCACCGTAAGTTTGTATCCAGATTCTGAGTCGTACTGAAGATTCGAAAAGTTGGGAAGAATTTATATCTTCGCTCAAAAAAATCCTACGGATCTCCAACTTGCTCACTCAAAGTGCACAATACATCAGACGCCCATATGTATCATTGCTGTAATCTTCAACTCTGTTGTGCCGTACAGGTTTGTTATGGTGGCAGATTTATTGGTACTGGCCTAACGTTTCGACGCTTTCGTCGTCCAGAGGCCTGAAAACGACTCAAGGCATCATCCGTAATACCAGACCACCAGATATCTCCTCTAACTCAGCCAATTTCGACTTCATTCCGACTTCGCGTCGCAAAAACTCTCAAGACATATACTCACTCTCGCACCACCGCTATTCGAAATGTCCGCACGACTGGATGTGACAAAAGTTGACGGACAAGTGAGTAATACAGTAGAATGCGCATCAAGTCGCTATCCACTATCTACAACTCACACAGTGGCATATACGGCAGAAACTCGGCGGTTATAGACAGGCACTCATTCTTATTACCCTATTTTCCGGCGTATAAGCCGCAATTATTTTCGTCGCGCGCGGGCTGACGCGAGATGATGGTCGCGATGTGCAAAGCCGCGCAAGCATCCAACTACCACCTATTTTACCTAGTAGCCTGATTGTAACTTTCTGCTTTCGCTCTTTCTTATGTAAGCATGAAAGCACCATTGAAACATCAGCATCATCATCAACAATCATTGAAATCGAACAAAATAGCAGCAGCTTTAACCTCGTAACATCTTTAAAAACAAAAGAAAACACTGTCAACTCCATTGTATCCTCAAGGAAAAAACACAACCCAAATACCACAAAATCGTCCGAATCTCTGGAAATAATGAAGAAATATCTGAAAACGTGAACATGCGCAATGAAAAGCAGTCACAAAATGCAGCGAGTTTTCAGTTTGTTAGATCAAAACTTTCTTTTCGAAGGCTCTTTCGCGCCATTGTTCGCTGCGGCGGGTGCGGCTTATATAAGGTGCGGCTTATAAACCGGAAAATAGGGTATTCAGTTCTGGATTCTTTGCGGATATCCAGAAAGCCTCTAGAATCTTCCTAGCCGTATTATCTGTTTTAAACGCCAAAATTTTGCATTTGACTGCAAAATCATTTCCCTCATGCGCTTCACTCTTATGTTTGCCCAATGGGATTACTAAACTCTTCCGCCTCTTGTCTGCCAGATGTTCTTTGAAGCGTACGCTCAACACTCTACGAGGCTCGCCAGTATATTTTGCTTTGCATTCGAGGCATTCGAGTTGGTATGCTACTCCTACCCTGGCGCAGTCACCTTCTCTGCTGTATGGACACACAAAGCAATTTTCCCTTATACATTGTCGATCGTAAAGGCGATTGCGGGCAAGCTGTTTTCAGGCCTCTGAGGACGACGAAAGCGTCGAAACGTTAGGCCAGTACCAATAAATCTGCCACCATAACATACCTGTACGGCACAACAGAGTTGAAGATTATAAGCAATGCCCAAGTTTAAAGAAAATGGAACATGGAAATTATCATTGCTGTATTTTTTCCTCATCTAAGAATCGAAAAAACGTAAATTTTCGTGCTCATACAGAAACGAAGCTGTGCTGTTTCCACCTATGTAATTGTATACTACAAGCCCTTAAAAGTATAACCGTAAATTTTTAGGTCCCCAAACCCTAGTTTTCGAAAAATATTGATTTTAGCCTGGAGCACCCAAGTGAGGAGAGCTCATTTCGATAATTTTTGGAAACTAGGGCCTGTAGAAAGCTGATAATTTACGGTTGTAATTCTAATGGCTTGTACTATATAAGTACATGAGTGGGAACAACGTAGCTTCGCTTTTGTATAAACCTTTCGTTTTCTTGAATTCCAGATGAAGAAAAAATACAGGAACGGTACGTATAAGTGTCTGATGTGGTGTGCAATTTGCTTGAGAAGCTTGGAGGTCCGTAGGATTTTTTTGAACAAAGATGTGAATTTTTCCCATTTTTTCGAATCTTCAGTACGACTTAGATTCTGGATGCAAATTTACGGTGGATCGAGCTGGTGCAAACTTTTGCATTACATCTTTCAAAGCTTGCTTTGCTCTATCGAAGGGTATCTCTGTGGGATGTACATGTATTAAGTTTCTAGAAATAGCAGATCTCATCTGAAAAAAATACTTTTGGGCCAACCTAACATCATTAGGCGCGTAATGCAATTAATAGTGTATAGTAATTCACATTTAGAAGTCTGCATGTTTATATTCGTAGGTGATGACATTCGAACAAGCTGAGAATTGGCCGATGAATCCCTTCGATGTGACGAAAGTATGGCCTCACAGTGAATTCCCGTTGATTCCAGTCGGAAAGATGGTGTTGAACAGGAATCCAAAGAACTACTTCGCAGAGGTTTGTTTTGTTTGTCAAGTAACCCAATTAGGATTATTCAAAACTGCTGAAGCGCTGCGAAATAATGACGAATGAGCCGAAGTGCATAAGGTTTATTGCCGGGCGAAGGCACGAAACCTCGGGACCGATCGCGTTTATTAGCCGCAGGGCTCAAAGGCACTGGTTCACAACGGTGTAGCTATACATGTTCGCCGCTTGACCAATACTGTTTTTGCGCCTCCTGGCAGCAGTTGTTATGTATTAGGGTGATCGGAAAGTAATGGGACACTTCGATTTTTTTAGAATTTCAATGATTTTTTTCTAATAAACAATAAACAACCAGCAGTAACGACACATTTGTATAAAGTTTGTATAAAGTGATCTTCGCATGTTATTCTGGCAGCAGATTACAACTCATAACCTGAAATCCTTCGCACGGCGCTTCAAAAAAGTTAGACGGCCTTTTTTTGACGTTATCTAAATTTGTACTGCAGTACCTTAAAGTCCCTGAGCATATGACATATCAATTCAAAAGTGCTTTCCAAGCTCTTTCTATTGATCACTTAACCTGCAAAAATTCTTCATAATTTTGTATTGAAAAGACAGATTATCCCTAAAAGTGCAATATTTGGCGCAAATTTTTAGGTTAGAAAACTTGTTTGGCCCACAATTTTTTGAAAGCGAAGTTTCTCGAGTTACGGTGTACGTACATAAGGATGGAGCGTAAACAGCTCTATCAGTGCATTTGTCAAAGGTGAGCCCATCCGATCACGATAAGAGAATTATGTTAATATCTAATCCTGCATCTTTTAGCGTTGGGACCATGAGGCTATCTGGATTTGGTGACTGTCCCCTAACGCAGCACATAATTTTGGCAGCCTCACTTTTTCATGCGGCGTCGAGAATTTTTGAAGTGACGAGCTAAGATTTTTGAGCACTTATAAACACGAGCCGTGCTACAATACCTATCTATAGACCTCGATCAGAAAATCTTGATATATACTAACAAATTTGGGCATCCAATTGATTTTTGTGTTTGAGACTACATCTATTCTTCAGTTGTCCCACTACTTTCCGATCACCCTAATACAATAAAATTCGAGTAATATGGTGTTTTTGCGGTGGGAACAACACATGCGCGGAAATATTATTTTTCCAATGTCAATAATAACAACAACATTTGCGCGTAACTGATGACATTTGCTGTGCTGCATGTTTAGAGGAAATTTCTAGGAAGAAGATGATCTAACAGTGCTTGCTGGAAGATTATCAGAAAATTGTCTATTATAGGTGGAGCAATCAGCGTTCTGTCCAGCTCATGTTGTGCCCGGAATTGAATTTTCTCCGGACAAGATGTTGCAAGGACGTCTGTTCTCTTACACGGACACCCAATACCATAGGCTAGGAACCAACTTTATGCAACTTCCCATCAACTGTCCTTATCGAGCACGCGCACATAATACTCAACGAGATGGACCTGCGACTTATGATAATCAAGGTGCAAAGTGAATTTAGATCAAAGAAGCTTATTCAAAAAGATTTGTAGGAGATGTGCCAAATTACTTCCCGAATAGTTTCAATGGGCATGTGACGTGCCCGCGTTCCGCTGAAAGCAGGTTTACTTTAAGCGGAGATGTTGCACGTCACGATCCTGGCGTTGATGATGTCTTCGAGCAGCCCAGAATCTTCTACAGAAAGGTATTGTTGTTTAATCTAAGTCAATATAGACTCCTCTCCCCATCCATCACAGCACCAATTTGCAGGTACTCAACGATCAAGAGAGAGCTCGTTTGATACAAAATATCTTTGACACAATGAAGGATTGTAAAACTTACATCCAAGATCGTGCCATACAGAACTTTGGAAAAGTAAGTTCAAATTTATGACTAAATTTTTCAGAAGCTCCATGGAATTTTTCACAGGTTGATCCCGAACTTGGAAACAGAATTAGGAAACTAGTCGATACCTACAACTCTGAAAAGGTAATTATACACATTGACTCCTGTGAGGCATAATTGGCAGTGATTTTCAGCAAGCACGACCACACATCTAAGCAGCTGTCTCAACCGCCGAGCTATATCTAATATAGTTTAGAAATGGCAGTTTGACTCACACATTATATACTTTGCAATATTTTATTTGTTTGTCAGCGTTGTGCTCCTTGTCAAAAATTTAATCACCTTGAAAACATAACTTCTTCGTTGGCAGACATGATATTTTATTACAAACAAAACTACCGAAGTAGACCTGAGAGAATTCAAAAAATTTGCATTTGATTATCTATTAATGTATATATCTATACAAAAAGCTCGAGGAGAACAAGAATCAAACAAAGGAATAGGAGATGAACAAAGGGACAGGCACACTAACCAACTGAGAGGCCTAGTCTCACACCGATCCAATCTTGAATGAAACAACATACATAAAAAACAAAAGATCTCCAGAATAAAAGAATCCAGCTAACGTGTAAAGGTTAACGGCGAATGAAGGCACGACTCTGAAGTTGTTATCGCGTACTTGAGCGAACGAGAGGACTAACTTTTTAGGGGCGCAACTTATCAACACCTAGTGCTGGCGGAGCAAGACTGAGGAAATCACTTACTGTACCCATTGAGGCTTTTCCTCCATACCATTTTGATATCGGAGCAGTTCACAAAATATGTTTTTGATAGCTGTTTGTTTCTAATCGGCGAGCTACAAATATGTCTGGCCTCGAATAACGATTCGCGTTACTTTCTGCTGCAAAACGTCCGCAGTCCTCTTTAAAAAAACGTCCGCAGTCCTCTTTAAAAAAATAGTTAAGTGCGAGCACCTCCCTCCCACAACAGCCCTGGCTTAAGTTGATTCATCCATTTTGATGCGTCTTTGTCGTTCGTTACGAGTTTATAGGGGGTAAATGGAGCTGGTCGGATAGTCGTCGACTATATCGTGGTACTGAAGGAAGCTTGGTAGTGTTCGCGATCAAGACGATGACATAATTTTTCTTTTGCGTTAGTTGAAACCATTAGTGAACGTCTAGTCTCATTTCTTCTGTGTAGCGAAAGATTTGAATAGTCGGGGCTTCCGTTATTGCATACATGTCTTGAGCCAAGCACTCTGGAACAGTTTGGAAGCAATTGCAACTCCTTCAGCAAAAATTTAATACTTATAGCTCAGACGATAAGATGAAGTTGTTTGTCCAATGCCCATTCCCCAATGCATGATCCCAAGGATTTCCGACACTGGCAACCGAGTTCAAGTGGTAGAATGCTCACCTGTCATAGTAAAAGTTTGATTCCAGGCAGAGGGTTTATTCTTGCAGATTTTGGAACTGCCAGGGATTGGACAAAAGAATACCTGTTTGGATTTACCTCAAACTTGGTGATTGAAACTACCATAAAGAATAATAGTTTGCTGAAAATATGAACAAGAGGTGTAGAATATTGAAGCAATAGCGTTGCACATATAGTAGAGAGTAGGTGGTGTTTGGGACAGTGATGAAGGCACCGATGAATAAGCGACTGCAACAACGAATATTTGGTATTGTATCGACAGAAGAGAACAGCAAGCCATGAGTTACAAACGAACTCATCACCAACTTTAAAATTAGGATTGTTCCATGCCGCAACGACCGCACCGTCTGCACTGACCAATAAATGCACTAATCACAGAGCCCTTAAGTATAACATGAATATCTGGGCCTACAACTTTGTGACAACCTAGGCTCAAGATTTATGCAGCAACACCTAGGAGACGTGCAAGTTACCCAGGCAGCCGTCAGAAAAGGCATCAGTGCTGCGGCTAAGCTACCGTAAGCGCTCTATCGTCGTTCACAACCTCTCGCCGAAAGATTTTCGCGGTACCTCGCGCCTCATCGCGTTGAGGTGCGAAAATTCCCTCAAAGGCAGTAGTGGTTCGGCAAATCCTCGACCTGGAGGTTTTTTTCTATCTGGGTAATTCGACGAGCTGATTTCGAAAGTACACCTCGAAGAGCACGAAAATGTCGAAAACCAACATTTTTCAGGGGTTTTCATTCTGAATTTAGATGAGTGGACCACTCCCCTCATGGCTAGAGACGTAGAGTCGTTGCGGGACCCTCGTGTTTACAACATTGCAGCATGCCGCCTCTGATGGCGGAAGGGCGACCGCAAGCTCGTTTGAGCGTTATAAGAATGGCTTGTGCGCACGCGTTTAGGGGCAGTTCTAGGAGGGTGCAGCATTTACTGCGCTCGGACCTGCTCTCTTGTGAAGCTTGAGATGCAAGCAACCGTCCATATCAAAATGAGATGTTTGATTTTCCTGAGCCAATGCCTTTAACACGTTTCGGACCTGTGCTGCACATGATGCAGCACGCGGCTTTGAAGGATTTTTTCAACGTTTACAGGAGGTTTTCTTTTTGTCCAAGGTTATCAGGTCAAAGGCCTAGGCTTCTACTTTTCAAATAACTCCGTAGAGCTGTGCCGCCGATATTTGTTTAGGAGATATAAGGACAAATCGAACAATAGTTGCAGCGAAGTGCGGCGACGCGAACGACGCGTGCGACGTCGCAACTTTCCTTTGCTTCGATATCAAAGAGAAAAACCGTAGCTTCAATACTGCTGTGTACCGTCTACAACATAGATACTTTTGGATACTATCAGAAACTCAGTTCTTATTCCAATCTTTCAAGAAAGCACAGGAGTCCTTCTCAAGCGACAAAATTCAAGCACTTCGAATTCATTCAGAACTTTGAGTATCGATCTTATCTGACATGCTGATTACAGATGTAGCACACAGTCTGAGAAATAGGATCCCTTTGTTGGCTAACGGCTGAAAATGCACTCTTTTTCGCCGCGCGTGATTTCGCGGTCCGAAACGTGTTAAAGATGAACCTCCACAAATTGTGAATCAATTAAGAACTACAAAAAATACATAAGAAAAAAATCAGAAAAATTCAAAAAAAAAACAACACAGAACACAGTTGAAAAAATAACCAAATTTACGTTGAACTTTTACAGTTCACACTACTATTGAATGCTTTTCTGTGACGAATTTTGACAATTTAACGCAAAAATTTATGGAAGCTGTAGGTATGTAATAGCCGGTTTCATATTCTTGTCTGAAGTTGCGCGTCGCATCAGTGATCTTGTTCCGGCGCAATACATCCCCTTCTTTCGCAATGGTTTTACGCTTTGGAAGTCTGAAAATCGTTTACAAATATTCAGAACTAACATGAATCAAATAAAAAGTTTGAGCAAACTCCAAGACATAAAAAAGAATGCCCAGAGCTATTACTTAAATTCTTTGTAAGCATTCGAGGAGCTGCTCGAATGGAGGATGCGTTCCTTCAAACCGCGAAATTTCCTAGAAAATCAAGTTTTACTGAAATTTCAGAAAAACTTCAAAAAGCAAACCTAATATGCTATGGAACGCTTCGGCTGCGTTAGTAGTTCTTAGTTCTTCTACGTTGTACTTGTATCATGTCCTTGTAGACCCCCTCGAACCATGTTTCGCATAGTATTTTAAGAAATTTTTCTATGGTCGTAAGAAGGGTGCCTACTGTTGACCGGAGGGTACAACAGCGCTGGCACTCTATTATTAAGCTCCTTGGGGAGAAATACTATCCCTTACATTGTGTGCCATCACCCAGATACATGACTCTTTTTACTCCCTTAGTATACTGCCTTAAAGGCACCGTCCACCCAAATTGGGGTTGGCGAGATTATGATACCTAGCAGATGCGGGGCCCCCAACTGTATGATTGCCCAACTCGCGCTGCCTGAAGTTGCTTCCGAACCGAGAAAATTGCTTCGGAAATCGCTTCAGGCCGCGCTTGCGACGCTGGCTCCTCCCCTTTCGGAGTGGGCGTGACGTTCGTCCCGCCCATCCGTGCGCGCCCGACCAATCACCGCACCGAAGAAATAGCTCAGCGGGTTCTGAAAACCGGGTTTTTCGTGATTTTCTCGGATATTCAACTTAATATTCGGAATCAGGGGTATGAGAAGGCCCCGGAACGGCAAAGACAGTCAGGTCGAAATTTTGGGTGGACGGTGCCTTTAAGCCTATATATGTTTGGTCATCCTATTCCAGGATTGTGCCAAATGGAAGGCGAAGCCTTGGAGTTGTGCGTCAATGAAAGTTTCCCTGACTGTCCTTATCGCGGCCTGAAGGTCAAAATTTTTAGACAATCAAAAACTACAAGAAAAATTTCATCACCTTCCCATGAGATAGAACTACTCTGAGCTTTCCATGTCCTGATTTCTCTTTCAGGCAGTCAAAGATAAGCTGTAAGTGGTGAATTTTCCTTTGTGTGATGGCGAATAAAATGGGGACCTGAAAATTTTCTGCAGTTTTCATTTTCTTTTCTATATTAAAAGATTTTCACAAACTTAAAAACCTCTGTCACACATCGCGTGGACGGTGTATAATTGCCCTTATTCTATTCCTACATGGATTGTAATGGGGTTTAACTTGTGGACGCCATCTCCGGTCAATGTTTTTGTCCGGTTTCATCCAGCTTTAATTCTCCAAAAAATCAGGAAATTCGCAGAAAAAAATTCTGTGGGCATTTACCGATATAATTACATCGAAGTAATAGATATGAGTATTCAGCGATTTATTTGCAAAAGTTCTTCCAGTTCGTTAAAATTCTTAATTCTTGGGGATACTGTTCATTTCTACCCTGTTGACTTACGAGGATGTAGCTCTAAAAAGTCCTTTTTTTTTAGATTAAAAAAAGGTAAACAAACATCTTCTGCTTCCAGAGCCGTTTTAACAAAATTTGCTGAGACTTTTTTCCTAGCTTTCATTGCTAAAGTCATTCCTTTCTGCTGATGCTGAGCATGGTCGTTTTCTAGCCAGGAAAAATACATTTTCAAGGCTTTGAAATCGAGAAGGTTTCGTTGAAGAGTGATTACCGGAGCTTATTCTCTGTATTTCTGGTACCTTTTTTACTTTCTGGTCCAGAACCTCATCAGCCACACGATTTGCTTCGTCTTTATCTCTGTCTAAGGGTACAGTTGTGCTCCAAGAGACAGGTATCTTCAATCAGATCATTGTTTACCTTAAATAAATCATAGATTGATTAGCTAATATTCATCCACATAAGACATGAGTATGTTCTGTCTCCTACATTCGGTCTTTGATGTTTTTTGTGATATTGAAATTGTAGTAAAGGTGAAACCCGGGACATCATACACGATTACAGGGTGAACCCTGCTCACTTATTTCGATTGCTACACTTTAAATCGACACAACTACCTGCAGAAGACTTTTGACTATACGAGAGTATAAATAGAGGCTGACTTAAAGGTGATCGTCATTCATTCTACAAGACTTCGAAGGAGGGAAATCAAAATAAGTTTGCACTAATAGCATTTACTTAGGCTGTGGGCATAATACCTCACGCGATCTGGCAATTTGCCGATGTCTTCAAATTCAACAACGGCAGACCCCAAATGTACAGCATGTATACAGGGTGTTTAAAAGTTGTGGCCTCAAGTGCTTCGGATGTAAATTCCATAGAACTTTTTCCCCTCTATTTCTTCAACCTAAAGAATCAGAAAACAACAGGAATTAACTTGCCTTTCCCCGTCGTTGATTTTATATAAGTCGGAAAAGATGATTAACTTTAATCATGGATGCCAAGGAGTTTCAGGCGGTCATCAAGCATCTTCATATGAGGGGACTCAACGCTGCCGAAGTGAAGGCTGAGCTTGTCAGCTTACATGGAGACAACGCACCATCATTTAGCTCTGTAGAGAAAAGGATTAGAGAGTTTTAGTGGGACCAAACCAGCACAGATGATCTGCCACGCTCTGGTCGCCCAAAAACTGAAAACCAATGAAGATAATTTGAGCGAAGTGTACAATTTGATATTGAACAATCGTCAGCTTAGTAACAGGGATGTATCCAAGTCCTTGCAGATCAGCGTGGCGCGCGCACACCATACTATCCATGAAGATTCGCAGTGGGCAGATGAAAAAGCTCCAAGCACATTGGGTGCTGCGCGCGCTGACCCGCATGCTTGCTTCTGAAGAGGTTTTGACCAAGATTCGAAAGAATCCTAAGAATTTTTGGAGGCGGTTCGTGACAGTAGATGAAACATGGGTCTACCACTACACTACAGAGCCCAAAGAAGCGTCTCAAAGTTGAACTGCCAAAGATGAACACATCCCACCAAAATCAGAAAGAAAAAGACTCGACAGCTTCTGGCTACCGTTTTTTGGAATTCGAGGGGAATCTTGATGGTCGACTACCTCGAGACCGGCAAAGCGATTAATGGCGGTACTACGCTGGACTTTTGGATCGTCTTCGTACGAACATCCTTTCCAAAAGCTGCACTCTACAAGAAGAAAGTCCTTTTCTATCAAGACAACCGCCCGCACACAAGTCCTGCGTAGCAACGGCAAAATTTCAAGAACTGGGGTACGAATTGATCAACCATATTCTCCAGATCTAGCCCCCAGCGACTTTTTCTGTTCGAAAACCTCAAGTCGTACCTGGTTGAAAAACAGTTCTCAAGCAATGAAGAAGTCAAGGCCGCTGGGGGAACTATTTCGACTCCAAAGATCAATCCTTTTATAGGAAAGGGATAATGGCGTACGAGGACCGTCTTAGCAGGTGTATTGAGCTTCGAGGAGATTATACTGAATAAATGAGTTTCTTATTTTCATGTACGTTCATTGTTAGGCTACAAACTTTTCAAACACCCTGTAACTTTTGCAAAGTGAGAAAATGACCTATCTTCTGTACATTCAGAAACTCTCCTTACGATGAGTTATAAACAACTGGAGTACTGCTAAATCGCGTCGCGACTGAAATCGAGACGCGATTTAGCGAGGTATGCCCAAAGCCCTACACAACTCTACCTGATGTCATATATATACCTCACCATTCCTATCAATAAGATATACCTAATAAGTATTTAGATTACATGTTTACGTCTTCCTTATTGGCATGAGGAACCGCTATGACCAGATCGGGCCCCAAATTGAATCCCTCTGGGCCAGACAAGCTTTCTACTCGCCGGGGTCGATAAACTGGTACCGGAATAATGTGGGAGGGTAAAATCACTGTGTTGATCGGCTAGCCCCGCAAGTCACTGTGAAAGGCTCTCACGCATTTAGTATCCTCTCCCACTATGAAGTGGGTTCGGCGCATGCCCGCAAAGGGTCAAATCCTTTATCCTTTTATTACTGAAGACAAAGCTATTATTGATGAATTATTATTGATTACCAAAGTCTGAGGTATAAGCTCCTGCAAGACGAAGGCGGTTGGTTCGATGTGGTTCGATGTTCGGCTGTGACGCAGCTGTGACACTGCTGCGTCACAGCTGCGTCACAGCCGCGTCACAGCTGCGTCACAGCCGCGTCACAGCCGCGTCACAGCCACGTCGCACATCGAACCGACCACCTTCGTCTTGCAGGAGCTTATACACCGCCAAGGCTCAACGTGGCGACAAACAAACTCCGTACAGATACCACAATTAAACCAAAAAATCCATAACGAACTCATGATTAGTACATCGTTTATGATGCGGTAAAGAGTACGACTGTCGTGACATGCAGTCAATTCTTGATATCATCACACGAAGATGATCAAAGTGTAACATTTTTGATCAGACTGAACTTAGTCAGTCTCTCCAATCCAAAGGTGAAGTGTTTGACCTAATGACCTAAGCAGCTATACTTCTTTCAACAACTGCGGTTGGTGAGTACCATTGGAATCTGTGCGTTATTAGTCACTAGCTGGCTTACCCGGCTCCGCCGTATCCGGACCAAACTTGGGGATGATCAGCATGCTCGATTACCCCCCTGTGCCAACTCCCAGCCCCCTAGCTCAAACTTTGCAAAAAAATCGATAAAATCGATAAAAGTAATCGATAATCCCGGAAACCAATATTGTATTCGGAATCCCCATGCTCGATTACCCCCCCCCCTATGCGAACTCCCAGCCCCGTAGCTCAAACTTTGCAAAAAAATCGATAAAATCGATAAAAGTAATCGATAATCCCGGAAACCAATATTGTATTCGGAATCCCCATGCTCGATTACCCCCCCCCCCCTATGCGAACTCCCAGCCCCGTAGCTCAAACTTTGCAAAAAAATCGATAAAATCGATAAAAGTAATCGATAATCCTGAAAACCAATATTGTATTCGGAATCCCCATGCTCGATTACCCCCCTGTGCCAACTCCCAGCCCCGTAGGTGAACTCAGCAAAAAAATCGATAAAAATCGATACAATCGATATCGATCGATGACGAAAAGTAACCTATGACACCCGCCGGGGCCCGTAGTGTATGTGTGCCAAGTTTGGTCCGGATCGGTTCAGAAATGGAATTTTCTATTCGGAACATACGTACATACAGACATACATACAGACATACATACATACATACATACATACATACATACATACATACATACAGACATTCAGCTTTATATATAAGATGCATAAAAAAGGGGAGTGGGGAGGGGAAGGGGGTTTGAGAGCGACTTGTCGAAGCAATGCGTAATCCAACATTTTATTGAAATTATCAAGCAAATTTGTGAGATCACTGAATCAAAACTCCCACGATGCGGGTCCCAAGTGCCCAAACAGATAACATTTTACAACTTTTGAACTTTATAACAAGTATGTACATCATAAATCATACACTGACAACAAGTTCTGGATCTGAATACATATATCACAGCAGGGTCCCTCTCTTCTTAGACGCTGGACCTTCCGAAACTTCTCGTCCCAGTAATTTGTCTTTAATCATTCCTTTCCTCTTCAAAGCATCACGAACTATCCGGGCATTCATGGAATATGATTCAGCTGTTTCGCGCTGGAATCTTATCTTATACAATATGCAAGAGCGAATATTTGATAACCTCTTACCGCTTCAATTTCATCCTCCTCTTCGCCTTCCATAGTCGATACAGTTACCGAACCCATTTTACCTTGATTTTTCACATTTCTCTTCATGATAATCTAGAAGAAAGAATGCTTTTGTTTTCGCAGGTGAGAGGTACACTGTTCACCTTTTTTGCCCTCTGTTCTTCATTCGCCCCGCTGAAGCCTCCCACTTCCTGGGCCGACAGCAAAGCTTCGCGAAATACAAAAAGGAGCTTCAAGTTCGATGGATGCTGGTAAAACAAAGGAACACCGCAACCTTTACATTTTTTACGATATTGTTGCTCGAGCCCTTCTTTCCTAAAATTAACGAAATTCAAAATTCTTTATTACGCCTTCGAACCAAGTGGCACCCTAGCAATAGAAAACTTTTGCTTACCTCTGCACATAAACAGTATCGCCTGGATTTGAGAAGATCTTTGCCGTTGTTCTATCAGGATCAATGACACGCGCACCATCGCGTTTACGAAGAGGCATACGAATAAGAAGGCAATCACTAATCATAGCCATCTAAAAATTCTAAATCAATCAGCTTCTCACGTTGTGAGATTTTCGATGAAGCCTCATATTCAAATTAGATATATGAGTTCATAGCAACCTTCAAGACCAATAATCTATATTTTTGAGCTGTTCAAAACCAAGTGTCATTTAACACCCTTTAACTCTTTTACGCCTCGGACAGAGTTTACGCGATTTCATCGCCTCGCGATTCTATCAAGACAACAGTTACAAATCCATTGTATGCCGATCAATTTGCATTTCGGTTATAATAGCTAGTCACGGTTAATCGTGTCGGAAACTCTACAACCGAAATGCAAGAAGATCGGCATGCAACAGACTCGTAACTGTTGTCTTGTTAAAGAATCGCGTGGCGATGGAATCGCGAATTTACGTCTCTCACCATGCTGGCGTCAATCCGAGTGACGTCAATTCTGCGCGGGACCCCAACCTGAACAAAATATTCGCTTACTCTGGCACCTGCCTTAAAGGCACCGTCCACCCAAATTGGGGTTGGTGAGATTATGATACCTAGCAGCTGCGGGGCCCCCGACTGTATGATTGCCCAACTCGCGTTGCCTAAAGTTGCTTCCGAAGCGAGAAAATTGCTTCGGAAATCGCTTCAGATGACGTTCGCCACGTTGGCTCCTCCCCTTTTGGAGTGGGCGTGACGTTCGTTCCGCCCCCTTCAGAGAAAGCTCGAAGCAGACAGCAAGAGTCAGCAATCACCGCTCGGTTAAACACACTATATGCAGGGCGCGCTCACTGACATCTTGTAGGCAAAAATTAGCGTACAAACAAACAACGCAACAACAACGCTTACAAACACGAGTTATGATGGAACATCACAAAATAAGCAGTACGGAACAAAAAATAGAACGGAAACGAAAAAACAGAAACAAATACACGAGTGCGCTAAAGAAGGACGCAGCGCTCCTCTGCGTCTCTACCCTGCCGGCTGCCAGGCGACGTTTACGACGAATTCTGATGACGTGCAAAACTCCGAGTTTTGGAGGTTTCTTTCGATTTTATGCCTGGATTCAGATTCAGCGTGCTCAAGAAGTACGGAATAGAACAAAAACTCGAAATCGAATTTTTGGGTGGACGGTGCCTTTAAGGGAAATGGCGAAAATTCGCGATTGCCCACACGCAGAAGGCATGAATTTCTAGTGTCACTCAATCAAGTTGTTTGAGATAAGCAAAACCGGCTCGAGGATAGCATGAAACAAGCTTATTCAAATTGATATGTTTTCGTGACCATTTATTATTATGGAAGGCATCATGCTATTACTAATGCAAAGTTTTTCGTGAACGACGATAACCCAAGCATAAAAGCTAAAAAAGACAAAAAGCGCTTGTAAGACGAAAGCTAGGTGACTATAAAAACTAGTTTTGCCACTAAAACAATGTAAAAAGGAAACAGATAGAATTGGACTAAAAGAAAAGCCCTCACTTGTCCACAGTTGCAGTAGTAAGTGTACAAGGGTTTGACAAAGTATTCTTCACGATCGTCGATATCCACCAGTCTAGACTCTCCCTAAAACTTCCAAGCTTTATGACAACAGAAAAGTATAAATAGCTTGGAAAGCAACATGAGTAATGAATAAATCGACTCCTATCTATAGCCCGAAGTAACTTACATTTTTATCGTCTTCAACGTGCGAAATCTCTTGCGCACCATCATTTCCCAGAACATTCAAAGCCATTCTAAGGAAGCTTATACAAATAAAAACGATGTCTTTTAATGTTATAATGAATAAGACAAAAGTACAATAATATCAGAGATTCTGAGGCTGAAAGGATCCAATATTTGCTTATTTGAGTGCTGAATAACACTGGAAAGCCAAATTGACTGATTTTCAAATGAAATAAGCCTGAAACCGTCAAGTAAGCCAAAATTAAGGAAAAACGACAATTGGACGAGAGCCAAGAACTGCGAAATTCACGACGTAAAGTAGCGGTAAATCTGTGTGACTACGGATGAGTCATTAAATGACGACATGCGGTGAAGGTTTGCTGGTTTCATTGTTGAGAAGTTTGTTGGATTTACAAGTTTGCTCTGTGAATGGGGGTTTCCTTGGAACAGCTTTCAGTTCTGAGGTCGCTTTGATGTATTGTCCACTTTTGAATGAGTCGTTTTTATTCGAGTTCTGAAGATGCAAGAAGTCAGAGCATTTTCTACTAACTTTTCGAAATCACATAGTCCTGTGTATTGGAACCGAGCAAGTTTTAGGGGACTGAAAGAATTCTCACAACATTTTTCCCGCGATACAAATGCCTATCGATTGTTGTGTCGAAAAACAGCACTCCTTTGCGCGCTAAATTTGAATTCTTCAACTTCAAAAGGCTTCTTTTTTGGATCTGCCGCATCACTCCGCTCTTATTTTTATCTCTAGTCGCTTTTTATCTTTAGATTGCTTTGAGTGCGTAGAATCATAATGGATTTGCAGAAGTGACATTCACTTCGATTCAGGACGTCAGGCAGGAGGCAGCAAAGGCTGGCAGCATTTGCTCCTGGAAGTGCCTGGGGAGTTCCAGACTTTCTCGCACCTCTAATCACTCTTTGACCTTTGATTAGTTTACAAGCAAGAGCATCAAACAAAAAACCTTTGAAGAGTATTTTACTTTAAACCAAGTTAGAAATCTTGCAATTTCTTTCAATCTCAGCTACATAAGGTTTAGTCTATAGAATAGCGGGTCCAGAGCAGTTTTCTTCATAATTCGCAGAGTAGAAAGGAATAAGACTGCCGCAGAATAAAGGACATTGCTAGAAGTCTTGGAGTCCTTGTTTTCGATCGAAATTATTAGGACGAAAAAGACGAGAATATGCTCAACATTCCGGCTCAATTCTACAGACCAAATTGGACTTCCATATCTACTCGAGATTCTTATTTTTTTACCGCCTTCGATGTTGAATTAGGCTAATTCTATAAACTTTTTTGAAACCTACTATTTCATTCGCTGCGGATATGAAACATGAAACCTATATCTCGCAATCTGCCATACTTGAAAAGTTTACGAATAAGTGGGCATAGGTCATATCGAATACATACTTAGAGGTGCGAAGAAGTAATTAGAAGCGCGAGGAACTCTGAAGCTCCCCAGGTACTTCCATAAGCAAAAGCGGCAGGCCTTTGCTGCCTCCTGCCCGACACCGCCTTCCATTCAGTCATATGGCATGACGATACGAGTTTTTTTTTTACCAAAACCTTGAGAATTTGGATAAATTTGGAAAAAACTTTAAATCACGGGTGCTCATATTGTCCTACATAAAACTTTCTGTTACTGACAATTGTCGCTGAGACAATTTTTCCACTAATTGTTTTTGCCCAAATTCCTAACAATAAGCACAAGAAAAATTCAAATCAGTCTCAAGCTCAAATTGAGATGATACTGAGATTTCTGATTGCATATCGTTCTAGCTGTGGTTTACGTTTCATGCTGATTATAGCTCAGTGACATCAAAGTCGCGCCGCCGCAGTGTACGCAAGCGGTTTTATTGTCTGCGTCAAAGGACTTCTTTACGCGCAAAACTCTTTAAGAATTTGACATTGGAAAAAATATCACTGGCGCAATTGCGTTATTACTTCATCCTCATCATCCTTCTAGTCCTCGGTCGTATTTGCAGCCGCACTATATTCGTTGGAACAAGTCGATAAATGCTATTTGCCTACTGTAATTATAGGTAACGGTACCAGAATGCTGCTAACAGATTGCAAAACATATTTCCATACTGACAATCTTTACGATGTTCTACGGATAGATCGTAGTGCAACTGCGACTGAAAGTAAGTTTGGATGCGCCTTTCAGACTTCGTAAATATCAAGTCAAATTTCAGTTAAAAAAGCTTATTACAAGCAGTCCATGAAATGGCATCCTGACAAAGCTGCCAGTGACGAGGATTCAACAAAAAACGCAACTGTTCGTTTCCAAATCTTGACGAAAGCTTACCAAATTTTATCAGATAAGGAAAAACGTCTGCTGTATGATGAATCAGGCATGTGTTCTTTAAAGTAGAGTGGACATATTTTCCGCTGTTTAAATTGATGTTTAGGTGTGATTGATGAGGAGAACGTCCTGAGTGAAGAGGATAGCATCAATATGTGGCGGCAGGTGTTCAAAAAAGTCACCGTGGAAGATATTGAAAAGTTTGTAGCTCAGTACAAAGGTAAGTAACCTTATCGCATTACTCATTTTCTTCGTTAGGTAATCACGGCCCTTTTTGCTGGGTTCAGAGTGCAGCCATACTCATCCTTTTGCCTGCGGGTGCCGATTTGCATGCATCTTAGCGCATTTTTTACAGTGCTAGAGTGCCGTTTCGGAAGCGGATCTGGCGCGACACGCACGCTAAAATGCATGCACAATCGGCATGCTAAAGAGAAGAGAATAAGTATGGCGGTATCCTTATCTTAGCACGAATAAGCAGTATTTCTAGGGTCCGAAGAAGAGGAGGGAGATATCATTGCTAGCTATAATTTGTGCAATGGTGATATGACAATGATTATGGACTCAATCATGGGCGCCACATACGAGGATGAACCGAGAATCAAGGTTCTTTACCCAGAATAGAACTTGAATGCTTTCATCTGAACCTTATCTTTTAGGAGCTCATCGATAAGAAGATTAACGAAGG